CATACACAGTTAATCAATCTTATCAAATCAGAGTGGAAAAGTTGGAATGTAATCCGCCAGGCATTACTCAACATGGCCTCAACATACTTGGCCATGGTGACCTTGACATTGTATGATTGGTATAATTTAGCCTGCATTCAATATAAATATCAAAATATTTTACAATAATTCATAATTCTATTGCTTTATTTGCTAATACTGTTTTGTTTACAATTTTCAGGTTTTATTTTTTTTTTAAACACATTCTTACTGATTTATAAATATTAACCTTTAATTCTCATTAAAATAAATACATCTCCAACTTAAACAATGGAGACTGTTAATGTTATTTATAAAGTATTAAATCATTAAGAAGAATCGTCATCTCAGATGTTTTGTCCACAAAGAAGTTTTACTGGACTTTTTTGAAAACTGAGCTTCACTTTTATTTAACAAATAATTTCCCCATTCTTTATTTTTAGAACCCAACTTTTTATTTGAAAATATTGTCATCGGCTAGTGGAAAATAAATAATATTGAAAATTGATGAAGCCGTTTTATTTTTGTATAAAATATAACTTTCTGTTTTTTTTTTGTTTTTTTTGTGTTTTTTTAACAACTTTTGAATTCTAATTGCTCACCATGATTACATTATTTGATGTTTTGAAGCAGAACAAGAAGTCCATGGTTCGGCAACTTAAAAGGAACACAGATTCCAAAATAGTATTTCTGTCAGACGTGGCATCAGTACATCAGTTTCTCAAGTCCAAATAGAAATCCAAACTTCACATTATAGTAGGAGAAATTGAAAAACTTCAACTTCAGTACAGCCAACCAACTGTAGCTAACCAACTGGCAAAGGAAGGAGGAGCACCCTCTCAAGTAACCACTCAAACTCTTCAGGCCGTCTCTAAAAATAAGGCTGCTGTATGACAAAGATGGAATGATGTCCACCCATATTAAGATCCTGAAGATGACTGTTACAAAGTGAGCAGGAAACAGCAAATTTTCCTCTTTGGACTCCGAATGAATAACAAGATGCAGAAATACCTTTATGAAAAATATAAAATTGGAGAAAGCCTCCTCTGTAGTTGTAGAAGAGGGGACCAAAACACAGAGTATGAAGCATGACGCAGGAAGACCATCGAGTTTATACTTTTAATCCTGGACCCGACCATTTGAAAGAAGTTCAAAGGAGAAAAAAAGGCCTACAGTACAAATTAACTGATGGTGTGAAGAACTCACTCTTTGGTTGTCTTTTGTATCCTTATGTCACAAGGTCAGGAAGCTTTGTGACGTAAGGATATAATTATTATTAAATTATAGTCCCTGAATCAGGTAATGAATACCTAAAATATATCAGGATGCCCGTATATTGCTGCCTCAAATGAATCAATTAGTGTAGTTTTATAATAAAGAATAATACTATAAGAATTATTTTGTCAAAAAAAAATTACTAAAAACAATCATAACAAATATTTTTGTCTACATTAATCCATACTAGTAAAAAAAAAAAAAACATTCTAAAGAGACATAAATTAATTGCTAGAATATAATTGGAAGTTTTTATATTCCAAAGATCTGTGTCTCTGAAATACTTTTCAACTGACTGGTTAGGTGTTTACAATTTTTTAATTTAGAAAAATAGATAAAGGGATGGAGACTCCTGCAGAATTGATGTAGAGAATGGAGAAGGAGGGGAGAGTTTGCGGGAAAACAGGGAATAAAATAAAAATTACAATAAAAATAAGAAATTACTAGTCATTCAACCTGGCCCTTTTGATACTCTCCAGAACATGTCCTATAAATAGGTTTGTATGCTGTTTGTAATGTTAAGAGCTTCGTGTAATACACTGTTTTTGGCATCAATCGGTACTTTTGCAATAATGTATACAATCATTCCAAGTAATGAACAAAATTAGGATTGGAAATTAGACCTGTATGCTCATAAGAGGCTGGGTGGGCTTCAGGAGGGTCTCCAAACCACCAGATTGATCCGCGGATTGAATTATTTTCTGCCCTCAAAAGAGACATTTAGAGAAGAACAATTCAAAAGAAATGAAGAAGTTTGGGGATAATAATAATAATCTTTTATTTATTCTGGGACGAATCCCTTTAGAATAATTGACAAGGACAGAAATGTGGGCTTTTGAGCCTCAGATATATATAAATATATTTACAAAGTTAACTAATAGATATAATACAGAAGAAAAAAAAGAAAGAAAGTTATCTTATAGATTAAATCGATTAAGAAAAAATAAATAAATGAAAGAACATTGGTGGGCCATTGAATATAAATCTGAAGACAGGGAATGGGTATTGAGGGAGTGGACAGAGGATTTGAATTGAAGGAGCTCAGAGATGTATGAAGGACGGCAGGAGTGAATGACCTGGAAGAGGAAGGATGACAGGAAATACATATGGCGTTAGGAAGGATAAAGCCATTTCAACTCTTCATGGAAACAGGAAAAAGGGGCATCCCTTGGGATTCCGAAGATGAATCGTACAAAGCAATTTGTCAAACGTTTTAGTTTCGCCTCGAGATCGCCAGAGAAGCCCCCATATACCGTGCAGCAATAGTCAAACTGGAGAAAAATTAAGGAAGTGACCAGGAGCCTACGGGTTTCAAGGGGAAATAAGTGATGGGAGTAGTTTAGGCGTTTTATGCTGGAAATGATACGGCAGGAGATGTTGGATACATAGTTTTTCCAGGAAAGCATTTGATCGAAGGTTATTCCGAGATTTTTGATGGTGGAATAAAATTTGATGGGATTATCATGTAGGAACAGGGTTGGAAAGTTAGGAACAGTTTTGAGGAGGTGATTAGAGCCTATTAGGATTGCCTTGGTCTTTTCCGCACTCAGCTTCAGCTTGTTAGCTCCTGCCCAGTTATATATTCTGTTTAAATCTTCTTGAAGCTTTTTTGTGACGGCTGATAGGTTAGAAGGGGGAAGGCCAGGTATATTTGGAAATCGTCAGGAGATGTGTGCAATGGGCTGAAAACTCACCCTCAAACTGTTATGAACAAGAAATATCCAAGTTTTTGTATCAGATATAAAAATAATAGATTAGATTAAGACTACATTAAGTAGGAATTTTTAACAGCATTCAATAAATTGTAAAAAGTCACTAAGTACACTTTTAGTCAATTTGAACCTGAAGATACGTAGTTGTTAATTTCAACCATATTTATCGATAGAATAACTCATTAAGTGCATAAAAATAATACAAATTCTTTGATATGTAAAAAATAGTTTCACTAAGATGCACGATTTTTCAACTAAACAGAGCAAAAATCTTCGAGTTACTTAATGAAATTCTCGTTCTCTTAATAAGGTTAAAGTAGAACGTAAAAATTCACTACCTGGTACTAGATGACTTCTTTCAATGGATTAATTGATTAGATGGTTAATAAAACTAATTAAGTGAGTTGAGTCACTATGTGCGTTGTGGTTTCATTTGTATTCATTGTTATGTATATCTTAAGTATTTTAATTACTTGTTGGAAATAGAATACATATTTAGAATTGTAAATAACAAAAAATAAATAATAAAATTGCTATTTTAATATGTTTTTTAATGAATTAGAAACTTGAAATTCATTAAAATTTAACTCAATGACTTTTTGCAATAAACCGACGAAATGTATAAAAAATAATTAATGCTTATATTGAAATCACCCTTGTAAAGAAAGAGAATTACAATTTACTAGTTGGCCCGTGCGAATAATTTGCAGAAAATTTTGTTTAGTGAAGATAAGTAGTACAATATGGAGATAAGTAGCTCCTATGTATTATGTAATCTTTTTTCCTTGGTCGATTACAATATTCCATTAAACATAATAGACCAAAATATTTGTACGAATTGCTTTGCTAGGAACTATTTTTAAACGCTGACTGGAAAGATTGTAGAAGTAATTAAGACAAAATAATGCGCGACTTTGGGATTTTCTAATTTATTAAAAAAATTAAATGTAAGAACAACCTTTAAGCCTTTAAGAAATAATAAAGTTAATATATCAGCCAGGAAAAAAATTGTAGTAGACTATTCTATTCCTAAATGCAATATCTTTAAACAGGAAGACATTATTAAGTACAGCAAAAACTAATGGACTGTATCTTTGTTAATAATTGCCCGTTTTTTTTATTGTTTTGTTGGTAACTTACTAATCTTTCTAATTATCATGGGTACAATCAAGAAAAAAATGCATACTTTTTGAGTTATTCGCGAATAAAGTTTCTTTTCCTTCATAACTTTTTTTTCAGAAATTTAGGGGGGATAGGACTATTTTTCGCAAGTGAAGGAGAAGAATATCTTCGAAATGAGTGGTCAATCATTGGATTTGATGAAAAATTGATGAAGTTATGGCATACTGACAAAAAAACACCTTTTAGAAATAATATATAGGATTATAATGCTGCTCATATCAAAATGTCATTTGTTGTTTCCTTTCGTTTCTCCTCCTCATTCTTCTCAATTCTGTCACTCGGATCCAAAAAGCAATGACCTAATTTCATAAAGGTGATGGTGCAGGATTCCTAGTGAGTTCAAACTAATGGACTCTGCCATACTCTGTATCTCATTCCTTTCAACATCTAGCTTTTCCAAAAAACTAGTAGTTGAGAGAGGAATTGTCCCTCAACTTCTAAACCAAAGTCCTCCAACAAAAATGTTTTTAAAATAAACGTTGAACTTTCTTATCCATAATAATTAATTATAACTAAATTAGTCACAAACATTCAAGATAAAAGTTACTTAAATTTCTTTTGCTCCCACCTGGCCGTTTCTGGAATACGAGCGATTATTCTGTACATAATCAACCTACTCTAGCAAGAGAGGGGAAGGTCGAGAATCATTTCATGCGTCATTCACGAAATAAATTTCAACTTCCCCAGACTGTATACAAACTGTTATTTATACAACTAAAAAATAAAGATAAAGATGAATACATTTAAGAACTTTATTGCCAAGAAATATTTTCATTCTGCGTCAGAAGTTAACATCCAAATTCATACAAGGGGTCACCAAGATCTACTGCTTTGTGCCATAGCTAAGACCGACCCAATGCAAAGCCCAACTAGGCTACCTATTATAGCCTTTTGCAATCCTCCTTAAAAACAACATAAATTTAAACTTTAAAATACTATAATAACAGGAAATATTTATCAAATTCAGTAAATCTATTCCAAGTATTTAATGTTCACTTTCGAGGTTTAGAGACTGATTTCACTTATTTATGTCAACATTTACGAACTAAGGCTTTCAGAAATTAGGAGAATTTTACATCTCCCACAATGTAGCTTGAGTAAATTAATATTTGTAATGGTCTTTTTGTAAAAAATGTTCACTGTGTACGGGATAACGACATCGTTTCTGTTCATTGTGTTATATTGTGTCCAAGAATTTTACATTAAAATTCTTGTTTTGAGTTTTTCAATCTCGGAACATTCTTACTATTTACTAATTGCAAACCACAAAAAGCAAACTTGTGCATTGCAATCTCTTTCTGGACACCTCTGCATGAAAAAAAGTATTATTAAAAGCACCTTCATCCACAAGAACCATCATTTCACAACGGCACACTTGATTGTAATTCTCATATCAATGAAATCTTTTAATCATACAAAGATTTTTCAATGTACAGTAACTTAAATGTGAAATGATCTTCAAGAATAATAATATTAAAATTTAAAAAAATTGATAATTTGAAAATGAAGAGAGAGAGAGGATATGACAAAAAATATATATGTTGATGGCCAAGTAACAATATCTTGTATAAAAAACCTGTATTTTTTTTAAGGCATAAAAAATTAATATTTTGTGTTTAACATTTTGAATACACCTTAACTTTTTTAAGACCTTCAGGTAATTTAAAGTATTCATAAATATAAAAAAAATTTTAGATAATACACTAACTATTGTTAAGCTATACAAATTTTATTTTACCAAACGGATGATATTGCCAGCACCATATTAAGGTAACAAATGAGCAACGTTAAAACAGGCTCACATTCGTGTGTTCACATTCATATTCGTAGGTGATATTGCTACTTAGCCATCGACATTTTTCCATATAAAAAACTAAAATGGAGTAAACGTCTTACCAGGTATGCTATATGCGAATCCCGTCACTGCAGCTGCCCCGATAGTGTTACCAGCATCCTCCTTATTCCTATGAGTAGCCAAAGCGATTCCTGTTGCAGCATAGACAGTAGCCAAAACGCCAACCATGTTCCCGAGCTTACTACGCTTTACTACATGGTTGATCAATCTAAAAAAATATATCCTTTAATGGTCGAGGGTTTAATTAAATGGTTTCCAAGAGGAATATTATTAGTTATTAAGTAATTATCACATATTTAATGAAACTCAAGTTAACTTACACAATCCTTCTTAATTTTGGTGGATGGCTGAGAGCAGCTTCTTTGCCTTGAACGAAACCGCGAAATGCACCCAATCCACTTGCTGCTAGTATTGCAATACCAGTTTCGAAAAATGAATGCTCAAATCGGCCTCTAACTGGCTTTTCAATGTTGAAATATATGTAGCCATCATTATTGGGAATGGCATTGGGGTTTTGTGGTATATAAGGAGAATCATAGGTATAACCAGGTAGCGTATTTATATCTGAAATTGTACAGGCAAATATAATAAATCAATTTAATTGACTGAAATTCAAATGATATCTCATTTAAGAAAAAATATAAGGAAAACAGATAAAAAGAGATAATTTTATATTCAATGAATACAATTTGAAAAATAATAATTTTATTTTGATAAAAAATGATTTTATCACATTCAAGATACAGATTATTGTTTATTTAATAAAACCAACATAAGCTATAGCTACATGATAAGAATCTGAACTTCATAAATCACCAATATCATTCTAAATTACACTATTAGATAAATATAAATATATATTATTTTCAGGAGTTAGGTCATTTAATTTACAATTTTAATAAACTATATAAATTTGGAGTTTGTCCTTTTTATTTGTTAACGTTTCGATCCCTTTTTTTCCTATACGTAGAATGGGATCCTCTTCAGAGCTTCTTATGGAGCTACAATACTCCAATCCAGGGGCACACCGACAGCCTCAATACCACCTTCCAGTACGTGTACTAAGCCACTATACTGTGGCCCTCAACTCTTCTCAACAGTGGCTTGATACACATACTGGAAGGTGGTACTGAGCCTGTCGATGTGGCTTGGAGTATCTAAGCTCAATATGAAGCTCTGAAGAGGATCCCATTCTATGTATATGATAAGAAGGGATCGAAATATTAACAAATAAAACGAAAAAAACTCTAAATTTATGTAGTTTATTAAAATTGTAAATTAAATAACCTAACTCCTGAAAATAATAATTATTTCACCATATAAAATTTAAGTGTCGATGAAAAAAATAATTTTGTAATACATATATATTCCATACTTTGTAAGGAAGTACTGTTTCTTCATCAAGGGTTGTGCAAGGAGACGATTTGATCGAGATTATCCTCAACTGTTAGGGATCGAACCCAGGACCTTGAGTATAGGAGCATAGTACCTTACTCAATATGAAAGTGTGTGTTCTTAAGTTATGCCATGGTTATATCATAACAAAGGTATGCTCCAATATCTGACAGATTCTTCTTTTATACTTTTATAATTTAGATAGATTATGATAAATATTTATTTTTGTTGGAGTTATTTTTCAAATGCATATGATTAAGAAGTATTTGTTATACATTACATTATGATCAGCATCAAACGTTATTGTTTTCTTAAGTCTTCAAGAATATGACAACAGTCATAAAATGTAAATAATTTTATTTATTTATTTATATACTGTATTCTTTAACAAATTTCTAGGATCTGATTCTACTTTCAATTCCTATTGAATTTATTTGGTTTTTATTGTAATCGTATGAACCTAAATGGTTACCTTTAATTAAAGCAAACCTCCCAATCACGTCTTGGTCTACTCCTGAATCCACACATCACTCAGAATGTATTAATAAAAACTAATAAAATTAGAAATTTTCTCATAGGTTAATATTTTCCTTGAGTAATATACAGGGTTTCTACTAAATATCGGATAGTCAATGTAATGGAAAATGGAAAAAAAAAATTATTATATAACATTTTATCTCAAAACAAAGATCTACAATTATTTTTAAAACAAATAACCCTAATGAATTGTTAAGCTTACGTCAAGAAAGCAAAAATATAACAATAAAACTATATAATTTTCAGAACAAAATACTATTTTTGAGTTTAAAAACATTCCTAAAGAAAAATATAGGTTTTGGTAAATAAATATATGTATTTTTAACCCTAGAACGAGACACTAGTGTGTGACACATCCCACAACATTTTAAATATTAAATTATTTTTATATAAGTAGTTCTTTGGCCAAGGTTTTTCATGTAAATAAACATCACACATAGCCAGGCTTGTTACGGTCATTAGCGCTTCATTGTTGGAGCTTATAACATTGTTGGGAGTTATCGAAAGTTATCGTGTTTTCTTTGTCATTTTGAAACTTCGAATAATTCAGATATGGACATCAAATGTTCTACTTTTTAATTAGTGGTATTTTCAATTCAGACATTAATATATAGAAACCAATTTGTTAGTAAGGCAAATACATTTTATATGCTCACATAAAGTAAAAAGTTAAAACTACATAGCTAAAAAAGCTTTTTAAAAAACATTTAATAAAAAAAACAATATTTTTCCATTGAAAATAAATCAAGTATATATCAATGAAATATATATATTTGGAATGTAAAATACATAAACAATAAAGGAAAACTTTTTTTTTACTTAAAAAAATAATAAAACCTATAGTGGATTTCTTGGATTGTTGTGAGTGAGTGGTTACCTAAATGGCCCCCACTATAGGTTTTATTATTTTTTTAAGTAAAAAAAAAGTTTTCCTTTGATATTAACTTGATTTATTTTCAATGGAAAAATATTGTTTTTTTTTTTTTTTTTATTAAATGTTTTTAAAAAGTTTTTTTAGCAATGTAGATTTAACTTTTTACTTTATGTGAGCATATAAAATATATTATCTAAGGTTACCTTGAATTTATTTTATTTTTTGTTTTGTTGATTATTTAGCTTATTTCTGAAAACTATTTGAGTTTTCCAGAGCATTACAATTAAATTTTATGATAATTTAAAGTTTGGGGTGCCCGACAACCCGGAGTGTCAGAATGAGTTGGAGCATTTAAGTGTGTCGTTCTAGGGTTAAAATAGCTCATGTGGTATTTTAATGCTTTATCTAATATAATACTATGGTTTTAAAGGAAAGGAAGTAAAACTGAGGTCTCTTTGTTTAGGTATAAACAAGTACAATTATTCTACAATGTGAAATTTATTAGGTTTGAATGACTTAACTTCTTTGGTACTTGAGTTTTATGAAAAAACTTAAGCTTTTATTTTTATTTTTTTATTTTTGTACCAAAAACTTTTCTAAAAAAGGAAAACTTTATGCCAAACCAACAGGAACAAAAATTAACAGGTGAAAACAAACTTAATCACAATGTCAACTTAAAAAAGTTCAGCATAACATCAATATTGTTAATGATAGTAAGAATAACTACTACATACATACATATTAATGTATTCACAAAACCATTATATTAAAATTAAAAAACTTGTTTGTTCTCTTGGACAGGTTTCAGTTAAAACTTGTTTGAAGTACATTCATCAGCGAAAACAATTCAATACAATGTAGAAATAATGTTAAATTAAAAGGTAATAGTATAACTATTGGAATAAGTTGCAAAACCATTAAATAAATAAGAAGCAATTTTATAATCAGAAATTAAGTCAGTTTTCTAGTAAAATTCATTCTAAATAGGGTTTCAAAATTAAGAAAATTAGAATTACAAAAAAAAGTAATTGAAAAATCAAAGTAAGTAGATATGTTGTTTTATTGAAGTTATAAACTCAAAATAACTTTAATGTAGCCTATATTTCCAACTTTAAACATAAAAATGTTTATTCTTTAAATTTGGAAACCTGTGTAAGAAATAAATTAAAATGTCTTATTTCTTATGTTGATTTCATATTTTTCCCTATTCCTCAACTTTTTCTCAACACTTACTTTTCAGAATAAAACCATTAAAATCAAGCATGCCTTATCATTGAAATGCATATGTATATATAATAAATGTTATATTTTTCATTGACTGCTAAAATAATTTCATTTATACACAACATTATCCTATATTAATAATAGTACATTATCCAATACTACTCCTAACTAATAACTTCATCAAATTGTGGCATTTTGGGTTCACCTAATTGAATTAATATTGAGAACATAATCGACTAAGTGAAATTTTTGAGGAAAGAATTTTTAATCATGACTCATAACACTGTATGTAAAACATTAAATTTATTTTTAAATACTTTTAATCATCACTCACTATTTTTTAAATAAATTTTCAACATTAATATGAACTTGATGTGGTTTGAAAACCTATAACTGCTCTTTTGAAAAATTTAATTATTTGGGCTATCCAAAACACCAGCCAATTGACTTTATAGATTTTTTAAATACTTAATATGCTTCACTTATTAATGAGATACAGTTTTTATCTATCTCTTTGATAAGGTTATAAAGTTTACAAGAATATTATTAATAACATTGGATCTTACATTGAAAATTCTTATCTCCATCTTCTAACATCTTAATTTTTTTCAAAGACAAGAAAAACTTAATTTTTACATAGTGTAGAGAAAGGTAATTTGAAATTGGAAATATTTAGATGCTCCTGAAAAAATAATCATTGCCAAAAATTAATCCTATATCTTCTACATCTGTATGTCGTCATGTGAACCGCCAAGATTAACATTTCGTGTACCAACCTATCAGTGGCTTAGAACAAAATATATAATGGTTCGAAATTTGAATCCAGTTGTATTCTATTAACAACTAATCGTATAATTTAAAACTTAAAAAATATTCCAAGATTATGAAAGGAACTAATTGTGACTAATTTTGATTCTCCATCATAATGCTTATACAGAAATAGGTCACGGAGGCATTTAAAATCTGAAAATATACAAATATAAAATTATTGTTTTCCAAATATAATATAGCCAATAAATATATATAATATAGCCAATCATCTACATTTTGAAAATTATCTCATGAAAATTTTTTTCGGCTGCCTGATATAAAATAAGAATTTGCACCATTACGGCTGCTATGGGAGATTACAAACTTAATAAAAATACAAATTGACACCACCAATATTAATAAAATCTGTTTAAAATACAAATATGTCGTTACCTTGGGAGGGCGCAACTCGTAAATTTAATTTTTGCGTAATTATAATCATGTGAAAAACCCAACTTTACTTAGTTTATCAATTAGCTCAAAAACTCATAAATCTGAAAATATATACTCACTAAATATTCTTTTTATTTTTCATCTAATAATTTTTAATTTTTCTAGAATTAGTTACAGCAACATTCGTGGCCATTATGCATGTCTAATGCTGCCAACCTCGCAATTTCCAATATTTGAAGATCATTTATACACCATGAAATACATTGACAATTATATCTTCAGAATAATAATATTTAGTCACTTTACATACGTAAGCCAACTTTTACAATATAGTTGAACCACGATACATAGGGAATGGTAAGGGTAGATACATAGGGATGCCTTTCCCTCTTCCCCCCCCCCTTGTTTTAAATAAATAGTCCATTAGACCCCACCAATATTTTGAATGGTCCTAGACGAGTATAAAATAACTTAAAATATCAGAAATTTTGTTGAAAAATGCACAAGAATAAATAAGCTTTCTATAACTACTTTATGTGCGTAGTATTCGTCTATAATAAATTTTTCAATCAAAATATTTGCATCAAGTCCATCCGTGTTCGTTATACTAAATTACCGGTATACAGAAGACCGTTAAACTATAAAATTATTGAAAATTTGATGAGGTTTACAAAAATTGTCCGCTATAGAAATGTGTAACTAAGTGAAGTTTCACTACGATTCTCGACCCTCCCCTAATTATTGAAATAGAAGAACGCCCATGTGTTTAGTGGTACACCTCATTTTTGTGAACAACTTATTCACTGGTGCACAGACAGATCTATGGGAGATGGTTTCCAGACTGAAGCTTCTCCCTCTCCTCCACCTCTCCCCCCCTCATCCCAAAATGATAAAATATAATCCATGTTTGATGAAAAAAAATAATTCTAAAAGTATTATTGTTCGTCTAATAACATTTAATAGGACTAAAATAAATCACTTAAACACCATTTCATATAGGTACTTAGTTTCTTTCTTTCTTCCAAAATAATTATCGTATTATGTATATAACTATATATAAAAAAAAATCTTTCTGGCTGCAGCCCTCCCAAAATTAAATCCGGGATCCCTTAGTGACTAGTGGAATCCAGATTTAACATATCTTGGATTATCTGCAGATAGAGCAGCTTCATTAGGAATCTGATTATTGACCTTAAATAGAAATAATTTTTGTTTTAATTATTAATAAGTGTAATTCATCAAGCTTCTTTACCTATTCAATCCTAAAATTAATACCAGGTATGGGATAATGGGCAAATCAGAATCACACTTACTGTCTCCTATGAATGTCCTAAAATCAAGGAATAGCCAACTATTATAGTTTGTGTTCTAGTATCTTCAAAGTTGTTGCAAAACTAATTCATTTATTATGGATATGTCAATTACTTTCTATAAATAACAACTGCAGTTTCATTTGAACTACTATTTATTTTGGCTGGATTTGTGCTGAAACAATGCATATTTTATTTTTTTTAAAAATTCTTTATTATCGTTTTCTTATTGGAATCCCCTAAGTAAATTTGGTTCTCTGCAGCAGAAAAAAATGTTCACTAGGAAAAGCCACTTTAAAGCAGAAAACTTACTAGAGTAAATGTTGCACAAGAAATGTCACTTCCACCAATAAAGAAGTAAAGTTTAGGTGGTTTTAATGCCCTTATTACCATAATTCTTAGAGAAGTACAGACATTACTTGAAAAAGTGTACCATGGTGTCGAATATGCTGCTATGCGAACATTCGCACTCTAAACAAAAAAAAAAAGTTTATCACATGATCCTAGAATACATTAAAATCATTAATTGTATAAATTATTAACCTCTTCTGCAAGCATATCTGCGAAATGACAAAATATGTGTATATATCCTGTTTCTAAGTAAAACAAAGGTAATAAATGTTTTATATCAATGTCCTGCAAAATTCAAAGTTTTATATAAATATGGAATATGGTAATAAAAATAGAAAATTTTAATTGTCAACATACCCCAACCAATAAGGTTCTGCACATGGCTATTGCACTCATCATTGAAAAATATAAGATATAAAAGATTTGATCAAACAGTTTTTTTATACTATTAAATGACCTAAAATATATAATTGAATTTTAATATTTTCTCAAATAATTTAAAATGAAGGACCTATATAAACGTACTTAAATATTTCCTGATGATGTCTAATATTAACTTTTATTTTTGGCATTATTTCTGAATCCAGAACCAGTGCTAGATCATTCTTCATGAATCTATTCATGGAATTTAAGTTTAAACATAAAACTTCAAAATTAGCTGTTAGCTGAAGAGTGAACATCATGAATAAGTGAGCCATAAGTACATCTGCAATGCTAGCAATTACAACAAAACATGTTTCACTAAAATATACAAAATAGTGGAGAAATTTTGATTCTATTGGTAAGATCATGGGAATGGGAGGTTTAACATCCGCTACAAATAGTTGTTCTTTATAGAGGTTGGCCAATATACTTCCCCATGTGGTAAATACTATAATAGTGAAAAGATCAGTGTATATTTTCATTCCAGAAGTGAATAAGTCTTTTTGCCGTCGTTTGAAAAATGGTTTTACATCACTATTACTATAAGAAAAACAGTCATCAATTTGTTTGGCTACACTCATAATCTCTTCATGTTTGAAAAACTGTATTGAAAATAATCCCAAAGCTAAAAGTGAAAGGCAGATACGATGAAGAGCTTCAGTAGAATCTCCATGCTTCATTTCAAGATATGTATACATCCATACAGCCAGAGTAAATATTAGAATTAAATAATTGAAAGCTGAATGCAGTGTCAAAGTTTTATGAGGCTGAATACCAAGAAAGGAGAGCCATTGATTACAAAATTGTTGGCAATGGTCATCTAATATATCTTCTTCCTTATACCCTGAAATAAATTTTTTTAAATTAAATTTCAAATATTTCTGATCAAATCTACAAACCATCATTGAAATACAATTTATCTCAACATAGCAATAAAATGAGGCAAAGAATTAAAAAAAAAAGCCAAATCCATTTTCCATTTTTTTTTTTTAATTTTTATTATAGATTATTATGAGGCAAAAGGATTTCAAATTCGTATTAATATCAATTATATTGTTAAAGTGTTTATTTTTAATTGTTTTTCTTTTCTTTTTAGTTCATAAGTTTTTGTTTTTAATTCCCATTACTGTATTTAAGTTCATTTTTAAGATACACCAATCAAAGATATTATATTAATTTTTCTATATAACTTTGTCATATCAAAAACATACCACTACAACCCATGAAGGGTCTTGGTTCAGTACTATTTAGGGAAAGCACTGTTTCTAGGTCAACGGTTGTGCAAGGAGTTGATTTGACTGAGATCACGCTCAACCGCCAGGTTTTCCCCTTAATTAAATAATCAATTAATAAATTTAATAAATTAAATAAATAATTAATTAAGAGTACCCACTTTACAGAGGCTGGGTGTGCCCCAGGAGGGTCTCCCGACCCAGGGTCGCCCCACAGCCAATGAAACAGATAAATAAATTTTCTGCCATGAGCCGGCGTTCGAACCTGGGACCTTTATTACATTGGCAGCTCAGTACCCTACGACTGAATTTGTGTGTTTTCAAAAACTATCTTCCTTTAAATATGATACAAAGCAAATCCAAAACGTTTTTGGTTGCCAGATAGGTACATGTAAATTAAATTTTTGACTTTTTTTTTAAATGTGTGGGCAGGTGTCTAAGTGGCAGTAACAAACAAAAAACACAAGATAACATCAGTTTTACATTCACAACACTATGCCACTACATTCAGCATGCAGCAGTGAAAAAAAACAAAAAAACAATGGATCGACTAGTTTCTGAATTCTGTGCTTTAAATCAAGGGTCCCAAACGTTTTAGCCCACAGTGCCGCATTGAGATTTTCTCTAAGTCCCATGGGCTATAGTTCGTGAAAAAAAAAAAAGCTTGTCATATGAATGACACCTAAGATGTGGAATGAGCTTTCTAAGAAAAACAAATCATACAATTTATGTTGTAATAACTCGTGTTTGAGCGATTACTGAATTTCATATTTGTTAAATTGTTTTAAATTTTTACCAAGTAATCAAAGAAACTTCCTTGAGTATGGAGGAGACCCCTAACTTATATTACAAAAATATATTCAAAAGAATATTAACACAATATATTGCCTGTGGATTTGTCATTTAACTTATTAATATTTGTTCAAGGATAATATATATAAATAAATAATGCTTTATTCACTGGTTTACAAAAACAAATAAATTCTTTATAATTTATAATTTCATATTCTGTTTAGTATTTAAAGTTTCAATAACTAATCATATTTCAATTATCGTGCAATAAATACTACAACTTATAAATAATACGTGATTAAAAATCTAATATATCTGATTTTTAATTTATAAATCATATTTACATCAAATTCTATTTTTAATCGAAGTATCCTTACATGTTTTCTTGTTTTATTTTTTCTTAATTAATTTAATTGAAGATATTTTAAATTTATCCAAATTCTGAAGTAAACAACTAAACTGTATTGTTATAAAATATTAGAATATTATTTTGATAAAACTAAAATCTATTCTTTATATACAGGGTGTTTTAGTTCTTAATGGCTAAACTCTGGGAGGTGAGGTGATTATAGATAAAATTTCCAACAAAAAAGTTCATTTGATGTATACAAGACCAATTTCGTGTTTTTCATATTTTTCATACCAAGTGTTCATATTTTTTATTGAAGAACGAGGAATCGCACAAAAACTGATCTAATTCTAAGATAATTAAATTCAAAGCACACCCTCGTAAATTAGACATTTTTTTTTAGAAAACATTGATTAAATTTACTTAGGTCAATGATAATAAGGACTTTCAGGAGGTCTAAAATGGCTGATGTACTGCTGCAGTTATAGGACCCATACACAAGCAGTATATCTCAGTACAGCGACCTTATAAGACCTGACCCCTTTAATCATTGACCTTACAAAATTTAATCACTGTTTTCTCCAAAAAAATGTGTCTATTTTACGATGGTGTACTTAGAATTTAATTATCTGGAACAGTTTTTGATTAATATATTCTTATTCAATAAAAAACGTGACTACCTCAAGAAAAACGTATAACTGGTCTTAGCTGCTTTTCAATTCCAAATTGGCCCATACATCAAATGCATATAATTGACAAGACTAGCATGGGATACACATTCATCAATATTTATTCTTAACTTGGTTTTATAACTCTCTTAACCAGCCCCTTTTCAGCCTTCTGGGGATATTTCCTGATATATTCACCAATTAATTATAAAATAGTCTTAATATTTCTTTTTTTTTTTAAACATTTGGTCTATATTAGATCTTTAATCTTCAGTATGTGGCCTCACCTACCTCATAATTGAAGGTGACTGAAAAAGAAATGGCTAAATGTCCATTTCATACAAAACACAAGTTTGACAAACATAAGTATAACCAGGAAAATCCAAGCTATGTGCAAGCAGTTGTCCCCTATTTCAGCAAAAGACAAAATTTGAAAAAAAAAATCTAAACTAATTAGGTGAAAATGACAAACCATAGAAATAAAAATTAAAGAAATTCAATTTAAAAAATTGCCTTCCCCTTTTGATCCAAATAGCTTAGAGCTGATTCCACCTTAGGAGATTAGTATCTCTTTTATCTGCAATTAAAAACTTACCTCTAATGTCCCTTATATTTACCTTTGTACATATGTACACATGATAGGAATAAAATTCAATACAAAAATAGAAGTAAAGGGAAAAAATAAGACTCAGTTGAGTCTAAGATTATTTTCAAGGATGAATTAAATTATGATGTCAATAATCAAACAAATAGTAAACATTTTTAAAATACCACAATTATTTACTATATAAAAATAAGGTAGTATAATTATACGTATTTCGATGATGTATAGTTATTAAAATAAAATTTCAAAAGTAGAGAACCTAAAAAATATTTTTTGTTTAATAATGTGCAGATATGTCTAGATATCTAATTTTCATGACCTACTTTTTAAAAGAGAGAACATACTTCTGCGATTTTTTTCTGAATATAATCTATAATAAGAATGCGTGTTCTGGAATATACAGCAGCCTTATATAACTTTGTAAGACGACCATGGCATAAATGTTTTATTAAGTTCTTTGAAGTTCAAAGATGGCTGTACCTACTAATCATTCACTTAGAAGACGTATCATATAATATTATGTATAGGATAATCATAAAGTAAAATCCACTAGTTCTTCTATTTTGAGAATTGATCAATTTTACTTCTTTTGAGGTGGGGAGGGGGAGAAGAGGAGAGCATTTGCCTAAAATTGGAGCCATAAAAAAAATCAAGTAATCAAATGGAACTGTATTATTTGCCTTAATTTTATTTGAAGCTTTAAAGCATAATCAACATTAACAATATTTTTTTGTTTTTAAAAATCAACTTTATAGTTTGTATTCGTAAAACTAATTTTAGTTTTATTTAGCTTCTAATTCGAAAAATATCTTGATTTCATCATAAATTTAGATACGTTATACAGCTTGGGCAGTGTTGAAATGCATTTTTTTTTTTTTTTTTTGTGATTATATAAATATACCTTCAACAAAAAATATGACTGCTACCAATATTTAAATATGATGTTAAATATAAGTACCGTTTCATGTTCTATTCAGTTCAAGCAGAGTTCTTATGACTATTAGAGTTTCATCTTTATTTGAGGGGGGGCGGGATGGATAGGAACTGAATCATTTTCAGTGGGTGGCCCCGACGGATCTATGAGGGGGGAGCTTTCGGGCTGAATCCTCCTCCCCCCTCCCCCCTAAACGGTAAAATATAAACATGTTTTACAGAAAAAACATTAAAAACTATCTCTAAAAGTATTCTTGTTCGTTTAATTACATTTATTTAACTCCTATTACTTTAAGAACCACTTAAACACTATTTCATATAGGTAGTTAATTTATTTCTTTTTTTTTTAATTAATTATCGTTACATGTAAATGAAAAAAAAAATCTTTAGGGCTGAAGCCCTCCCCCCAAAATTAAATCCTGGATCCACTAGTGGTCTGTGATAAAAGATACACAACTTCAATAATCACACTTAAGGATCTTAATATGTAGTGTTATCTTATAATTTCAGACATAGAGGGATGGGATCCTTAGTTACGATAGAAACATCAATAATGAATGATGCAATTTTTAATAGCTCATTCAAGCCGAAATTCTTTAACTACTATGCAATAATTTATAAATTCAAAACACTCTCCTAAAAATATTTTCTGATCAAGCTCTGGTAAATAAGATACTTCTTTTAGATTTTATTGAAATATAAATAAAAATCATATGTCCAGTTAAATGTGGAGGTGGACAATCTTTCACTTATTGTTTTTTGGACTGTTAATGTTTGAAACGATTAGCAGTCCAAAACAATTACCATTAATTCAAATTAACAACCATTTTAACTGCATGGTTGACATAAATAACCTTTTTTTATTGTCCAATTTAGAAGTCCTTTAAAACTAAAAAAAAAATCTAATCTTCTTGATTTGTCAAACCCTTGTTTCTATATTCTATAAACATAAAATCTCAGCACACAGTTTATTCTATCTTGTAAATTCTATATTCCTTTTTATATAACTACTTCCTTTAAAACAATGCATCATTTCAATTTCTTACTTTTCTCCATGTACAGAATCTCATCTTTAATTCCATTTAAATACCAATTATTTTCCATTTCCTCAACAATCAATCTTCCAAATATATGAAAGAATAACAAAAATGTGAAAAAAAAAAAAAAAAAGGAATAGGGATGTAAATTTATTTTATAATTTGGGCGACAATTTTTTCACGAGAATGTTGCTTTTTAGACAAATACAAAAATTAATAAGGTAAGGGTCATTACAAATTTTACTTAATATTAACCTTGGACATTAAAATGGAAGTTTGAACATATTTCAGAAAAAAAATCAATATTTTTTTAATAATTAATTATAAAAACGAAATTTTATAAATTGTGATATACTAATAAAATAGCATGACATAACAAAAAAGGAAGTCAGAGAATTTAAGTCCTCAAAAGTATTTAATAGAATAAGTAAAAATAAAGTTTATGGTGTACTAGTTTTACCCACCTTATTTTACTGTTACTATATATATTGCTTACTATTGCAAATAGGATGCAAACATATCAACATTTATTTATAGTTAATTTCATGAATATAATAATGTCTTTCATTTAATTTATTTCATTATGGCAAATTTCTGTCAGACAAATATAATTATAATTTCACATTTTCATTATTTATAGGTGATTAATTATTCCTGAATAAAATTTACTTTTCTTCTCATTATTTTTGCAAGTTAATTTCATTCTTGAATTATTGATCACATATTTCTTGACTTTTCAGAACTGCTGCGGACATATCTTTTTCAATTATATGTGCTTTTATAAAACTATAATTGATCATTTTTTAATAAACATGCTACTAGCCACTAAACAATAACTTTCGTTTTGTTGTAGATGAAGAATAAGATGAATTCACGTCAACATTGCAAGAAAATATTAGAAAACAAATAAATGAAAAATTCATAAATAAATGCGATATCAATACTTGTACAAGAAGCATTAAGTTTTTAAATTAAAATAAATCAATGAAAAATTAATTAAGGATGAAATCCCTAATTATTTTTACCAATTAAGTAAAATTTTACGACTATTCCATAATTCTCACTTCCACATTCCTCAGTATCCTTTAAACTCTTACCCCGTTCAAAACTAGTATCTCATCGCAGACCTGCACCTTGGATGTTAGGAAATTAAGGATTTGCAGATGTGTGAAGCTGCCCACAAACACTTTAGAACTAGTATTTCTGACAACTATCAAGTGTTTTTGATGCACCAAAACAACACAAATGAGAATTCAGCAAGCTGAATCCACTTACTTCCATGAAGCCCTATCAACGGGTCCTGTTCTAAATCTGAATGGATACTTTTCAAACTTTCCTTTAGTGAATCTTTTATATCCCCTTTCTCACTACTCTTTCCAGTTTCACAAAACGATTTCAAATTCAACATGACCCTTTCTTATCCAAATTTAAAACTGTTTAATTCTATTTCCTCTTCACATAACAGTTAAAACACTGACTAACCATGTATATTGTAACAAAGGTTTGTTTTTATTATTCACATTTTACCTAGGAAGGAACTTTAATTCCTAAGATTTAATTTTTGCTGAAATAAAATTTTCTCATCATACCTTTATTTTCTAATATATATACATACATATATATTAATTACGCAGCATTGAAGTACTTAAGTACATTTTGTTTATTTTTAATAAAAATGTTTGCATATGGATTGGATTACCATTTTTTTTTGTTTAATGTATATTTATTTAAATAACAGAAATCTTAATTTCTTTTCCATAATTAATACCTTTTCATCTCTATTAAAGGAATTCATTTTTCTTAAGAGCCGGTATTTTTCTACCATCCTTCTTTGTTGAAAATAATGTCTCTTTTTATTTATTCAACTATTTTGGTCAGAAATTTCAAGTTGGCGCCTCAGGGCAAAGCTTACCAAGGAATAAGACAAAACAGAGAAGAGATTGGTAAGTGGGATTATAATATTCAACAGACTTCAAAAACGAGCTTGACTGGAAAAAAGCTAGATTGTCTCTAAATTCCTGAAAGTGAGACTAAGAATTGATTCCAGTAATTGGAAAATTTGATATAAATAAAAAAAGAACTCTAGTTTCATCGTCGGTGGTTTTTAAACCAACGAATCTTCAAAATTGCAAGAAGCCACGGAGCAAAGTAGTGAGCTACACACCAACACTAAGTAATCTTAGAATTTATAAAGAATTTGTGGACCAAACCACATGGTGGACATCCATATGAAGTTGAGTAACTATATCGAAACTTTCATGAACTACTCCAAAATGGAACACATACGTTTTGAGACTACAGCCCTACAGTGGGAAACCAAAAAGTGAACAATAATTGCTTTCGAGTAAAATGTTTTATAAATTCTCATTTGAAGAATCATTTCTCTACATCTTGCAAACTGACTTAAGCTCTGTCATGATTTGATCATTATTAACAAAGCTATGGGTGCTACTATGATAAATTTGATTGCTATTACCTAACTGATACGTTTTCCAAAGTAAAAAGCTGTAAGTTAGAAATAAATTCCTGTAAATTATGAAAATAAGTCTAAAAAATTATTGGCAAAATTACGATAAAAAAAAATTAAATACACCATTTCATCTTTGTCTTGGACCTGCAAAACAAATTGAACGAAAAAAATAATGTTCATAGAATAAATATTCAGCTTTCCGTTTTTTTCGTCTGTTGAATTTTTTCCAAGTTTTTGTTCTTACAGAATTTGCAGTGGCTGTCGATATTATAGAAACATTTAATAAGATTACTTTTAGTAACATTAGGTTGGGAGAGGAGGGAGGAGGAGGTAATGCCATCTCGTAAACATTACTGTCTTTTACGTAACAAACAAATTTGTGATAGGGGAAATAAAAAGGATAACCAGTTCATGATATAAAATAATATGCTTTATAAGATATATATATTATGGTTAACAAACAATACTAAAATGAAATTTGTGATTTAATTGGGTTATATTCAATTTATAAATGTGAGACAAAACTGTACAAAATGACACATTGTAACAAGGTCAAACTACATACATATCATTTTTACACAGATTTATGTCTTGTATAATTATATTATAATTACAAAAATTTGATAATTATATAAGGACTATACCCCAAAAATTACAATCTTATATTTATACATAATATTCAGATAGCTTTTACTAGCCAAAATATTTTAATTCATATTGATGATTTAAAAAAGGAGGGAGGGAAGAAACATATAAATATACTAATTTCACTACTAATATATAATATATAGAAATTTGAAAGAAAATAAATAATACCTCAATTATAATATGAAATCAAAACAATAAGACCACATTTAAACAAATACTTTTTGTATTCTAAATTTTTTTAACACGACTAGTCAGCTATCATGAATAGATTTTATATATTTTTATATATAACAAAGAATACATATACCAAAATTTGTACAACTCAAAAAGAAAAACAAAAAAGGAAAACATGAAAAAACAACGATTCTAAAGATTAAAATATAACAATAAGAAAATGCAATCAAATTATATAAGCAAGAGCTAAAATACAAATATATAATTTCAAATTCTAGGATTATACGTTCAAATACCAACAAAAATTTAAACATTTTATAATTAATTGTTAATACAGAAGACTGGAATAACTTTATAACCTTTACTTTAATAATTTTCTAATACAGTTCAACTAGCTATGACAGATTTATTACGTCTTTATTACAATTATTAATACCTACAACCATGGAAAAATCTCTGTGGCTAATGCAACTGTTTGAGCAACATATAAATACATATATAGACTTGGATAATGTCTAAATAAATATATATAACCGCTATTAGCCTAAAATAATCGAAGTTCAGACATGAATCTTTATTTCAACTAAGCTAAGGATTAGAAAAAACACTACAACAGAGGGCACCCAGATAGAACAAGTGACGCAGCATTCACAAAATTAGTCCTTTTTTGGAAAAAGGATATCTGTAAGTTTAAGAAGCACCTACATCTATTTTACTCAGATATAGAGGCACGGTACCATAAGAACCCACATGTCCTACGTGTGAAGTGTCATTTTATTAAAAAGGGAAAACTGCCATGAAATAAATATGCACTTAGTTTACATACATATACATTCAAATATGTACATACATGTACCTTAGAAATAACTTTTATTATTTTTTAAATAATTTGTAAACACTACTATGATTGCCAGAATTAATCCTTGATAGTGTAGCATACCTCTTTAAAAAAGAAAAGAAAAAACATAACTCAGATATTTACATACTTCCCAATTCCGATTAGGAACTAAAACAGATAATGATACTTTGTCTTCTATAAATAGATCAGTCCGACAATTATTATTATTCTGCAAAGCATTATTTTGTACAATTATTGTAGCGATTCATTTCGTATCCCTATTCATTTCATGCTATATAATAGCGATTATATCAGAATTACATCATTTAATGAAATCTTGTCATGACCCCATTAGTAGATGAAAAAGAGTGACTTTTCTTTAACCAAAGGAGACCTATTTATTTTTTCATTATGTCCCCTTAATCGTTTAATATAGTTTACTCTTGACTATGGTTTTATCAGTACACAAACTGACATTGGATGCTAGCACAGGAGACTAAGAAGTACAATTATTCCGTAGGAGGTTCATCATCTGAATCTACAAGTGTGCTAAATTTATTTGATCCTGCAAAGTTCTGGAAAAAAAAAATAAAACCAAGAAAACAATTAAATAATGAAATAAATAAATCGAACATAAATATTATGCTAAAAATACCTGAATGTAATCTAATTTGTAACTACTCTACATTATTTGAAAATCAAGCAAAACAAATATAATTAACACTTAACTCAACCATAGATCAAAAAAAGGCAAATTAAATTTATATAAAATTATTTTATTAATAACCAATAACAGAAATAGATTTTTGTTCAGAGATAGTATAGATATCAGCCACTGATGGCAGAACCCTGAATGCAAAGTAAATGTGGTGCTTTAAAGATTATCTAACTAAAAAATTTTATAACAAAAACTTCACAATAATATCAAAGAATTTGAGAGCACATGAATCTTTCAGGTTAAAATGAGGATAAATAAATATTATTAAAAAATTTTATAGCAAAAACTTCACAATAATATCAAAGAATTTGAGAGCACATGAATCTTTCAGGTTAAAATGAGGATAAATAAATATGAAAGCCAAAAGATCACAAATCACAAATGAGTATATTTTATGAAATGAGAAAATAATTTTATTCTAGGACTACAGTCCCCTAAGAATAATAACAGTGTTAAAAATTTATGGGTATTAGTCTGGCTTAAAATAATAAAAATACAAGCTAATAAAACCGCTTATTGTTATTGCAGTTGTGCAATAGTTGAAATTACACAGTATACAGATACAAGTAATTTTACATATTCGTGGAAGTTTGTATGTGGAGTAGGTGGTGGAACAGGATTTGTTTGAAGGAATTTGTGGACGAGGATTGACGTATGGAGGTAGGAAGAGAGTTCCATAAGGAGATAGCATGAATGATGAAGGATTTGCTGAAGGAAGTAGTTTTATGGGAGGGGAAATAGAAATCTATAGGTTGAGACTAGTATTATGAGAGTGGATAGAGGAGCATAGAGTAAGGAGTTCCAGGATGTAGGGAGGGTTTTTGGTTCTGAGAACTTGGAAAAGGAAAACACCAAGGAGGAATTGTCGACAGGAAGTAGAATAACTTCAACTCGGTGTACCAGAATGACACATGCAAATGCCCGTTATTTTATAAGTGACACTTTAAAACTACTAAATTTGAAAGATTGTAAAGTTCTACCTACTCTCTTTCACAGTTAATATCAAGAGAGGTTTATTGATTAATTTTGAATTAATTTAAATAAAATTGCACTATGGAGACTAATTTTTAATAAAATTTGATAATATAAATGTTATAAGTACTTAAGTTTAATGATAAGTACATGAGAAATTTCCTAATGAATACTTTCAATCATTTCTTTTTTTTTTTTAAATACAAATTAATGATAAAATATATAAAACAACTAATAAATGAACCAGCCAATCAAGCATAATAATTATTTTAATTTTATTAAATTACAAGTGTACCAATGATATCTAATTGAGTAATTATTACCTGAAAATAAAAACACACAATACACCTAATCACAAACATGTATATAATAACAGGTGCTAACGAATGATTTGTGATAAAATTATTGATTTAACACAGAGATCTCCAAACATTTTGTCCCACATGCTACATTGAGATCTACACCGTAAAATCCCGCAGGCTGCATTGGGACCTCCATCAAGTCCCACGGTTCATGGCTTTATAATAAAATGACACTTTTACTGACCTCATGTTTAAGTGATTTATTAAATATATATATATATATATATTTTTTTTTTAATTTTGCCACATGATCCAAGAAACTTCAGCGGATCCAGCCAATGGGACATAGTTTGGAGACCCCTGGATTTAACCCATCACTACTTTACATGAAAACTTAAAGAACTTACAATAATTAAGAGGTATAATTAAAGTAGAAGAAAGTATATTTAAGAATAATAATTAACTGAGTAAAACCTAACTTTGCGCCCACCTAGAATGCTCCAGCATATCTTTAAAATGTACATATAACTAAATAGGTTGAATCTAAGCAGAATTTTAAATATACTAAAAATTGGGTGTTCAGCCAGAAGACATGGATGGTTAACTGGCTATGGATGAAAGATAAGCAGGTAAACAAATTCAATATAGCTATAGCTTCTGCTAGTGTACGTAATTGATTATGTATCGGATAAGTGCATTAGGACATCAAAACTCTTCAGGTATAGTAAAGGTGAAACTGTTGGGAGAGAGTATCACTTTTGACAGCCGAGTAGTACCAAATCAGTGAAGGATAATTAACAAGCATAACTAGAATATTATTAAAGATTGATAACCGAGTGTAAGTAAAAGTGATTTTATGGGATTAATTTAAATCACATAATTATGATTTGTTTCATCCAGTTTTCTGATTGGTGACAGAAGAGAATGAAGGAAGGATATAAAGGAGACCCTACACGGTAATTCATGAATGAATGCCACAAGAGGTTCCAAGATTGCCCGCTATCACTTTGATCATGAAGACCCTTACACGTTCAATCACTACTGATCATTACTTATCGTTGCTGATTTAGGTTAGATCGTTGCTGACCAATTTAGCGCAGTTGTAAACAAAGAAACAGCATAGATATGCTTATTTGGACATTGTCATTTATAATATTGGGCATCAAGAGAAAAACGGAGATATAATAATTACTTCCTAGTGCCTGAAAATCGTTTATACTAAAGTTAGTCCAAAATATAAGTCAACTACATACAAAAATCTATGGAAAGTATTGCGAAAATAATCAATTTGTTAAGAAAAATTAATGGCAAATAAACACAACAGTTAAAGATTTTTTTTCTATAAGTAAATTGTGAAGTTTCCACTTTTTTTTCTCTCCAATTTATTGCCTACTTGACTATTTAAAGAAAAAATAGTTGAAAATGGTTAATAATAATATAGACTACGGATATAAACAACTATTTACTTAATAACGAGACCTAGGTAAACTAACCTATCTAGTAGTAGTCTCATAGAAAATCGTTTTGACAAAAGTTAATAAAATATAAGTCTACTACTTACAAAAATTAAGGAAAGGTATTGCGAAAATAATAAATTCGTTGAGGAAAATGGGAAAAGAACAGATAAATATACACAACGATAAAGTTTTTTTTTTTCCTAAAGTAAATTGTGAAGTTTCCTCATTTTTTTAAAAATTTGTTGCCCACTTGACTATTTAAAAGAAATAGTTGAAGATGGTTTAAAATTATAAACAAGGGATATGAAAAATTATTTAACTATTTACATATAATGAAAATCAGAAATTTATAATGGTTGTGAGGCCTAGGTAACCTAACCTATCCAGCAGTAAGGTTAGTCTCCCCACTACTTTTACCTCAGTCTCCCCCCCTCCACTTCTCGTGAATGAACCTTTGATTTCCGGATGTTCGGAAATCCGCAGCGCACCACCATCAGTACTTCATTCACTACCTTACACGACAATTCGGAACGTCATTAGTGCAATTCCGATTGACCGTGTAGGGTCCCCTTAATAAATGAATAAACAAGCATATTATTCTTAGTGTAGGTGGTTAGGAGATTGTGCCAGGTTGCTTGGGAAACAGCTGTTTAAATCTTGTCCATTATAAAACTTGTATTACCTTAATGAACAATACTAGTAGTCAGAATTTGACAGATTATCTTTATGGACAAGTGGTTTAAAGAATGTTGTAATGTCTTTTTGTGGCGTCCTTCCTTGGATAGAAGGAGACAAAAGCCAATTTAGTTCAAAAAGTGTAGCCAGACCAGGCAGTCGAGTGCACGAACTCACTACCTATATTCAGTTATATCAACATTTTAAAAAAATCTGGGATGGTCGGTTCAAGTGGGTGCCTGCTTAGTACTTATTTCTCTGGCTCCTGTATATTGTCCCTAATCAAAATAAAGTTCCCACAAAAAATAAACAAGAGCATCCTTTAAACTGTCATACTTCCACTAGACCATAAAGATTATCTGTCAAATTCTGACTGCCAGTATTGTTTATTAAGGTAATACAGGTTTTATCATGAACAAGATTTAAACAGCTGTTCCTCAAGCAACCTGGTACAATCTCCACTAAGTATAATATGCTTGATTATTCATTTATTGTATCATTCATTCTCTTCTTTCCCCAATCAGAAAACTTGATGAAACAAATCATAATTATGTGATTTAAATTAATCCCATAAAATCACCTCTACTTCCACTCAACCTTTAATAATATTCCAGTTATCTCTGTTAATTATCCCCTTCACTGATGAATTAAAAAGTTACTTGAAATGGCAAAGTATAAGTCCTAAATAAGCTGTTCTTCATTTCATACTATTTTAACATTAACTAGACTTAAACTCCAAAAACTCTTCCAAATTATAAAAAGCTTATTTATAAAAAATGTTATACTAACAAGGCAAGTAATAAAAAAATTTAATTTCACCAGAATAAATTTGACAATAAAGGGATAATTTTGCTGATACTGCTCAATGTAGCAATAGACCGTAGACAGATAGATCTGTGCTATTTTGTGGGAATAAAATGGGCCACGTTTCGTTGGCACTACTCGGTAGTGATATCCTCTCCTAACAGTTTCACCTCGACTACCTGGGACCTTCTTATCTGATCATTTTATGTATATCATATTCAACAGTTTTGATGTTAACAATCACATCAGCACAGCTCTGATTTAAATGTTTTCATTATGAGACAAAATTAAATGAAAAAAAAAAAAATATTTACCTAAACAGTTTAAACAGTTTCACCTCGACTACCTGGGACCTTCTTATCTGATCATTTTATGTATATCATATTCAACAGTTTTGATGTTAACAATCACATCAGCACAGCTCTGATTTAAATGTTTTCATTATGAGACAAAATTAAATGAAAAAAAAAAAAAAAAAACTAAGCGAATCAACATTGTAGGATTGAAGTAAAAAAATTTCTCTTTAAAAGAAACAAACATAAATCCAACTACATTAAATAATGAAAGGAAATTAAATCTCAAATTCAAACATTGGAAAATCAAAATATCTTTTATAATTGAAGTCTTTGAGACTTACTAGTTACATATAGGTAAAATATTTATCTGCTCTGATTTCAATATAAATATCTGATATTATTTATCAGTGAAATGATTGAATGGATAACCTATACTGCCCATAGTTATCAATTTAAAATCAGACACACATCACCAATCATTTATAATATTTTGTCATATTCCTCCTATTGTAAGACTGATATTTTTTTTCCAAACATTAAAAAAAGCCATTACTTTGTAGAAGCTCATCCTAATGCACTTATCCGATACATAATCGATTAACAACAATGAATTTAAGCTGATCAAACAGAATTTTAAATTAAATGTTTAACGTGAGAGAAGTTGGTCACAATGGCAGCGGTCACAACCAACTCTAGTGGGGGAGAGGGGAGAAAACATTTCAGGACTAATATTCGATGATTTACTCTCATAGATTAAAAAAATAATACAGAAAGACATAAAACACTTACAGGTGTTTTTGATTCGGGTACTGTAGGCATCTTTGAAATGTCATCTACACATTCTTTTCTCTCCCTAGAAACAGAACATAAACATGTAAAAACTGTATAATAAAAATTGGACATTATTTGCTATATAACTACTAGCAAATAGTTACAAAATAGCAAACCTATGCTTATTATTAGGTTTGTCAACATCTTTCCCCCTAGGCCTATCTGTCAAACCACTTTGTACCCTACCTGAAGAAACTGCACTGCGTGAAGAATCATCATCTGCAACAAAATAATTCAATAACGTGAGAACGATTTCTACTCTATCAACACAAACTAAAAAGTAATTAACAAGGCAAATTATTTTTTCATGCAGTATAAGATATAAATCTCAAATATTAATAAGTAAAATAATCATTTTCGATATTGGCTCAATCCAAAAGCAAATGTTATATAGAAGACAAGATAAACACCCTAATACCCTCTTTAATAAAAACATTTTTATGAAACAAAATGGATAGTCAGTTTTGAACTTAGGGTTAGCAATTAGTAAAACAACACTAAACCATGTATTCAATATTTCCACCCTAAAACACGTAAATAGCCTCCGACACCTTTTTCCTATTGAAACCCGTAGGCTCCTAGTCACTTCCTTGATTTTCTCCCACTTAGACTATTGCTGTTCGGTATATGGGAACGTCTCTGGGAATCTCGAGGCAAAAGTAAAATTTTTGATAAATTGCTTTGTACGATTCATCTTTGGGATACCAAGGGATGCCTCTGTTTTCCATTTTTATGCAGAGTTGAAGTGGCTTTATCCTTCCTACCGTCGTAAATATTTCCTGGCATCCTTCCTATTTCAAGTCATCCAATTCCACCGCCCTTCATATGTCTCCGATATGTCTTCATGTTTATTTTCAATTTTTTATTTTTTATTATTAACTGATTTAAATTAGAAAGTAACTTATAATTTCTTTTATTATTTTTTTTTATTTTGGCTATTTACTTACTCTATATTTTTGTTTGTAGTATAGCCCACATTTTTTTCTTTCTGTATTATTATAAAGGGACTCGTTCCAGAATAAATAAAGCGTTATTATTATTAAATCTGAGTATTTAAACTAAAGTGTCTCTAATATTAAACCAAGTATTGATAAATTCAAACATATATTTTCAGATCTTAAATGAAACAAAATCTATGAAGAAAAAGTTTAAAAGATATGGTAAAAACTCAAATCAAAATTAGCTACAGAAAGATACAATACTTTAATCAGTTATGCGAATGCCGAATCAATGAATCTTTTGAAACTAGGAAATAGAAATCAACATTTTGAGAAAACTGAAAAACTAAGTTAAAAAAAAATAGCAACTGACCTGCATCATGTTTTTCCTTCAAGACGTCTCTGCTTCGGTCTTCTGATACTCTATTACTAGACTGCTGAACTTCATCTTCCGGACTACTTCGCCCATTATTAACCTTGAAAATGAAATTTTAAAATTAAATAGAAAAATAAAGAAAGAAACATTTAATTTATGAATTAATGAACAAATAGATGAACTAACTATTGTCTGAGGTTTTCGAGACCATGCATTTTCTTTTGGAGGTGGTGCCGGTTCAACGACCTTTTTTTCTTCCCACTGCTGCTTATCACCTTTGTCACTTCTGCTGCCGGTGCTTCCTGGACCACTCTTGGATCTGTAATATTTAAATACAATTTAAAAATATTTATATTAAACAAAAGTTGGATGAAACAGGAATTAAAAAAAAAAAAAAAATGCTCATAGAATGTCTACAGAAAGTTTTTTAAAGCAATTCCCTAACTTTACTAGGTGGTCTGGAAAAAATTCATATATAAAAACACTAAATTTATATTAACTGATATTAATAATAATAATTTTATGCAATTAGTACAATATTTAACATTTTAAATAGTTCAATCCATAACAGTGATTATAATAAAATAATCTATTATTTTTTTTTTTTTTTTAAGAAATCAGACAATAATTGAACAGCTTTACAAATGATCTTCGACATACAAATAAAAATAGTAAAGAACTACTCTTGGATACTAAAAATAAATTAAAAAACATTGTCTTTATTAGCACAGAACTGTTTTCATAATAAAGAGTTTTTTTAAGAATGTAACTAGAAACAAATAACAATTACTGAAAAAATAAAATTATAAATTATTATGAAAAATCGATGAAGACATTATAATTTGTTAAATGTATCATATGTATTATTTGATATATAATATTTATGTTAGTTTGTTTTGATTTAAAGGAATAAAACATCAGGGTCATCAACGCCTTTAAATTAATTTCATTTATTACTGGCTCAAATTTTTAAGAGATTTTAAATTTTTGTAAACAAATCATTTGATTTCAAGAAACCCAACACTAACTTTATAGTCTTTGTCATCCCTCAAAATTTTTGCTATTAGAGATTTAAGTCCTGAACTGCTTTGACTAGATACATAAAAAGGACACTCCTGTATAATATGGCTGATTGTAAGTGTGTTATTGCAGCGTTGGCATTGTGGTGGGGGTTGCTTGCTAATAAGATGTGAATGGGTAAGATAGGTGTGGTCTATTCTCAGTATGGTCAAGACAACCTCTTCTCTGTGGATATAATAACAAAGTTTATCTCTTCAATAAACGATATTCACAGCATATTTATTTCTAATTTGAAAAAAATAATTACGCACTAAAAAAAATTTCCTGACTTCTCCATGAGTTTTCCTTGTTATGAAAATTCTCCTGGCTTTTTCCATTCCAGGTCAGTCGCCGCCCTGTGAATGCTAATAAGATAATGATAGTTTTAGACTTGTCCTTGCTCTAGGATAAAGAAGATTCTTATGGAACAATCAAGAGCCAGTTTTTGTAAAAAAAAATTAAAAAATTCTTGCTGGAAAAAATTTACGACATGGACCTGAACACAACCTTTACAATATATTAATTAAATGAACCTTTACCTGGAATCAGGGAATTCATCGTTTCTCATGAGCCTCTCTTCAATTTCACGTTCTCTTGCAGCAGTGTCAACTGGTTTAGCTCCTCCGAATATAGAAGCAGAGGTGGACGCTGATTCAGCAGCTTCTTTAGGCTTTGTTCTTGGCTGCAAAGCCAACTTTGGTCTCGTTCGAGATTCTGAAAATTACGAACAATTTTTCATTTACTCAATTGCAATATACAGTAAAACGAATTATAACCTAAAGGTTATATTAAAAACATAATTCATTTCATTATGATACCACACAAACTTCAAATCCAGTGGGTTCACTACCATCTAAATGAGAAGTGAACTTCATAGTAATACATAAATAAAATTAAAATTATTTTTTTTAGTCTATATTCATTTAAAACATTTTTTTCAGTCAATTATTACATTTAAGAAATAACAAGTATCAAGCAATGATTATAGCTTTAGAGGAATCTACAATTGAATTTGACTTCGATACTTTCAAACTCAATTATTAATTCTCCAAAAAAATTTTTTAAAGGTTATCTATTAGCTCCAGCTCTCTTAAATGTGATAAAATACTTATCAGTAAGATTTATAATAATTACTTTATGAATGCCTTTGCAGAACTATCAATAACATTTAAAAGTATTTATAGGAAGTCCCAATGTGAAACCATGTAATTGACAAAACCCTACTTTATACAAAACAAAAGAAAAGTGTTTCGTTATAACCAGAATGGAAATGACAAGATCCATTTTTAATGGCACTCCATGAAATAAATGTTAACTGATACAATTGGGATAAGAATTAACAATTTTTAGATGCTTGAACTTTGTGACCCTTGCCCTAACATGCTAACTATTATGTCCTCACTACTATAAATAACAACTGACATTAACTAGAAATGAGTATATAATAAGTACTACTACACAAAGGGAGAGCATGTTATTTGCAAAATGGTCGATGAACTGAGACTATATTAAAATCCTATTAGAACAGTGAAATAAAAGTACTGCCAACTGATTGCATTAGATAATTTAGTGGTTATAATCAATAATGTATAATTTAACACTTGAAGGAAGTTAGTCGACTGTTCTACATATCATGGGTGATAAATATTCAGGACACAGTCTTTTTTAAATTTTTTTTTATTTTTGCCAACGTTTCAACCCAAACATGTGGGTCATCAGTACATGAACAACTTCAGTGCTCAAACCACGCGCTGAAGATGACCCACATGTTTGGGTTGAAACGTTGGCAAAAATAAAAAAATTTTAAAAAAGACTGCGTCCTGAATATTTATCACCCATGATATGTAGAACAGTCGACTAACTTCCTTCAAGAATTCACCAAATCCTTGGGACCTAACTACAACATCACACATCGTTGCTGAAATCCAGCACAGAGTACATGAACAACATCACACGTCGTTGCTGAAATCCACCATAGAGTACATGAACAACCTCAGTGCTCAAAACACGCCCTGAAGATGACCCACATGTTTGGGTTAAAACGTTGGCAAAAATAAAAAAAATTTAAAAAAGACTGCGTCCTGATTATTTATCACCTATAATTTAACATATTTGTTAGAATCACATGTGGCTGGGTGTTAAAAATACCAATGAAATGACAAAATATTGGTTGTTGCACATATATGTAAAACCTATTTTTCGATTGTAACTGCTGATCCCAGAAAGTTCTATAACTAATCTTCACAAAAAATTAACTAATTTTTTTTAAACTTTTTATAACTTCAATAATTGATTTTTAAAAATATTAATAAGAAAATAATATTTGTCAATTAATCACATCTAATATAAGGGCAACCCCTTCCCTACTTACAAATGTAAAAAATTATTAATTATGGGTAAACAACTAAAAATTTAATTATTTAGAAGCCTAGTTATAATTTTCCTGTAACAATATATTCCTAAAATACTAAAAATTTAATTTAAAAAAAAATTAACTAACTTTTTTTTTAACTTTTATAATAATTTATAACTTCAATAATTGATTTTTTAAAAATATTAATAAGAAAATAATATTTGTCAATTAATCACATCTAATATAAGGGCAACCCCTTCCCTACTTACAAATGTAAAAAATTATCAATTATGGGTAAACAACTAAAAATTTAATTATTTAGAAGCCCAGTTTTATTTTCCTCTAACAATATATTCCTAAAATACTAAAAATTTAATTTAAAAAAATATAAATATAAATTAAAATTACCTCGGTCAGCGGGTGGAAAATCATCTCTTCTTGGAGGTGGCCCATATTTGCCATCCCGATCTCTGTCCCTGTCTCTGTCTCTGCCTTCAAACCTTCCTCCGCCGCCACTGCCAAAACCTACTGAACCTCTGTCACCCCTAGGTTCTTCCCTCCATTGGCCTCCCCTATTATACATATTATAGGTTCTTAGACTTTTTACAACCATATTAAATATTAATTATAAAAATAAATCAATAAAAATCTTTCCATACCTGTCACTACGATCATCGGAGCGAGGAAACCTATCATCATCTCGGCCTCTGTCTCTGAAGCCTCCACTTCGATCACTGAAACCGCCACCGCTACTGCCACCAGCATCACGGTCCCGTCCGTAACCTCCGCCACCTCTATCCCGGTCATACCGGTCTCTGAAGCCACCACCTCGATCATCCCGCCCACGTTCTTCTCTACCACGGTCAAATCTAAAAAAAAAATTAACAAATAAGAATATACCATACGAAAATAATATGATAAATTTATAACATTTATACTTCCATAAAACTGATATAACTAAAATAGATTTATTTATACCTATCTTCTCGTTGGAAACTTCCTCCACTTCTTTCCTCGCGATCGAATCCTCGACTGAATCCACCACCACCACCTCCTGATCCAAAGTCTTTTCTACCTCCTCCATATCCTCGATCAAATCCACTACCTAAATAATTGCAATCATAAATGTCAAGGAATATTCAATTCTTATTTAATACTGATCTTAAATTCTAAAAGATACTATTAATGATTTTATGTCTTGTAGCGATAAAACTATTGTGACATTCAATTTTCATTAATCATTAATGTAATAATCATTTGTGATCACTACTATCTGACCCAAAAAATGATTAAGCTAGATAATTTAAAATAAAGTCAAATAACTTTAAAATTTAGCAAATCGAGAAGCTGTGAAACTTGAATGATCTAATTAATTGTAATTTATGGACTTGCAGCAACTTACGTTACCACTAGCTCAAATTTAAAACTCGATTGAATATTTAAACATTATCAAATTATGTCTTACGTTCTTCGGGTTCTTCTTGCCTTGGACCAGTTCTCCAATTGCCGGTCATCCGATCAGATGATGTTTGATCTCGACCACCATCTCTTCTGCCTCCTCTACCTCCTCTACCCCCACTGTCCAGATTAGTAGCTAGTTCAATTTTGATGATCCTGCCTTTTAATGTCTAAAAGAAGAAAAAAAATACAATAAATTACAATGATTCATAACAATTATTCTTATTTGCTTCAACACATACAAACTTCATTTCCCATCGTAACAAATCTAAATTTTAAAAGGGTTTCATCAAAACTTCATCAGCCATAGTAAATTATATCATTAAATAACGTCTAAACAAATAACTGATGACAGTAGAACACACTATTGAGGTAACAACAAATAAAAAAAGGTGTTTCATAAAGGAATCTTTAAATTTATAAATAGATGAACAACAGCATCTTATATATAATTAATGAATATCGCCTCTGATAGAAAGGGTTAGGGCATTAAAACTCAAATGATTAAAACCAACCATTATGTGTACTGAGATGAAGCTAGAAAAAATTCAAGCATAATTGAAGGATGTGGAACTGTAAAATTCAACGTATTTTACATCAATTTAATTATTGCATTCAATTAATGTAAAATTCAACGCATTATACATCAATTTAATTATTTCATTTAATTAAATACAAAATTGGAACCTAAAATGTATTTGATTGGCTGCTGATAAAATATACGATACTAAACTTGAAAATCAATTTGAATAATTACGATAGTTGAATCCCTGTTTGAAAATAAAATCACTTAATTTCTGACTCAGAGAAGTTAACACGCAGGAAAAAAAAAAGCAACAAGGAACACCTCAGTCAGTGCTATAATATCTTAATTTACTTTACATATTCATATTATGTTTAGTTTATGTCTATACAGGGTGTAACGTAAGTAGAGAGAAATTTTTATAGAAGCGACAGCAGATCTCGAGGCCAACAAAAAAGTTCATAAAAGCAATGGGCCAATTTACAGCATAAAAGTAAGAAATCAAAGTTAAATGTTTTTTTTTTTAAAGTAGATCATCCTTTTTGACGAATAGGAAGCAATAACTGAAGAAATATTTAATGTAAGTAATTAACAATTGTTTCAGTGTAAACTAGATAAAATTTCCTTCAAATGAAAATAAAATTTGTCATTGATTAAAACCATTTAAAGAGGGCAGGGCTTTTGAGTGGCTAAACTTGGCTAAGTCCTGTTTTTAAAAAAATCATAAACAGTTGACTATTTTTTTTTTATCATTATCTAACTATACTACAGAAACTCCACTTTTAGAAAAACTTCTTCATTTAATAAGCTTCAAGTTCTTATTAATTAAATTGAGATTTATTAGGCAAATTATTAAGATTCACCTCAAGTTGTTATTTCTCTTCTATTTATAAATAAAAAGAGAATTTAGCTAATTATTTTAAAGTAAGTAATATCAGACTTCAAGACCTACAAAAAAAGTTCATATAAGCAATGGGCCATTTTTTTGCTACTCAGTTTTACCATGTCCGTTTATATTTAAACTCAGTAAATACTATATGATATTTTAAAGAAATGATTTAAGATATTTTTCAGGATGACTACTAGACTGTGAAGAGTAAATTCTCTGACTTTTCCTTAACCAATATCAAGGAACACAAATGTTAAAAATGTATAACTTATAGCTATATTTATTTATTATAGATGATTGAAAATTGAAAGATTAGAGTTTAAAAAATTCTGTTTAGTCTTTTTAACAACAAACATAATATTCTAGAAGAAGCATTTTTTAACTTAATTAGGATTTTATATCCCCACATATATTATTACAATAAGGCTCAAAATTGTTTTCCTACAAAATATAAGCTCCTGTCATGCTCGAATACCACGAATGGGGTACAGTTGGATTCAGAATTGCAGGAGGATTAGCAAATCGTACTCTCTACTTTTGTTTTTCTTTCTAAAATAAATGAAGTCGATGCAAACATTTTGCTAGGCTTCAATACTGGAACGGTGGTAAGTCTGTAGATCAATACTGGACAAATTAGGCTTTGAAGATTCTAATGAATACAGCAAGAACCGGTTAGTTACTCCGGAACTATAGGGCCCTGTGTTCTGAAGCCCAAAAACGTACTATTTTCGAGATAATTCAAGGCAAAGGGTCGCATCCACCCAACTTTACATTAATTGTAGTACTGTCATTGAATACATGTCTCATTTCGTTGACTTGATGCTCCTATGATCGAGAGAGATCATAATATTTATCGAAGGTTGGTCGGTAAGCCACATTATCGTTAATTCTCCACCAAATCCCAAGATTAAGCCACCAATTTTAAAGGTTTGCTTCTCCTTCAGGAGGGTAAAATAGTCCAATCATCCCGAAAAATTAAGCAAAATAGTTATGAAAGAAAAGAAACTTTTATTTGCAAATAACTCGAAAATTACACACTTTTCCCTAGGTTATGCCCATGATTATATATAAGATTACTTAATTCCCTACAAAAGGAAAAAAAAAATCAATGAAACCGAACAATTTTTAGCAAAGACACAGATTATTGAAATTTGTGATCATGTTATGTTGGTTCCAAACATTAATGGAGTTTTAAATTAATTTTTGTTTCCTTTATCAATTATATTTATCGAGAAGGATACAATTGATTTCTTTATCCTATCCTATGATATGTATACGTTGCATTATTTTCTTTTCTTATTAATTTGATATTTGATCACTTTACAATAAACGGTGCGAAATTTTCTCATGGGCGTACTATTTTTATTCTAGAAAACTTGAGTAATTAATTTGTATCACTTTCATAAACTGAGAGGAGGTTAAAAGTTGATACTTGACGCTTTTCTCTATTATAAAATAAAGTGAGCTAAAGGTGATTTTTATTTTTAATATAGTTCCACAAGTGTAATTTAGTTCTTTTATTGCCAATATTTAAGAACTAAAAAAATTCTCTGACTTCTTCCTGTATTGAAAAATTCCCACTTTTCCCAATTTTTGCAAGTCAATTGCCACCATTTTCAGACCAAAAAATTTATTTCTACCATCTATCCATAACAAAATTTAGATCTTCAGATTAGGGCCATAGTAAGAGCATTGTACCCACATGAAACGAAATGAAAAATAATCTTATTCTGGGAATGAAGTCCCCCTTAGAATAATTGTAGAGTTCACAAAATATGTACCTTAGTATGTAGTTCCTTAAATAAAAAGTGTCTGGACCAAACCAAATATGGTTTTTATTTATCTGTACAAACTCTCATGATCTACCAATCACCACCCTTAATAATTGAAGTTCTACTCTGTTACACTAAAAAATCAAAGTTGCTGTTTTTTTTTATATATAAATAAAATCGCGTATTTAATTTTCCGTTGCGAATAATTAAAGTAAAATTATCAATATTCAAGGAATTTAGAATTGCTGGACATCCTATAAGTATAAGAATTGGATGTTTAGTTTTAATATATTAGCGAAAATTTTATCATTATTGCGAAGAAATTTATAATCAGTTTAGTTAAATAAATGTAAATGATATCTATATTGTTATAGTAATTCAAGATAATTTTGTTTGCACATCTGAATATTATTTACGGAAATAGCAAGATATTATAAATGCATTCAACAGATACAATTGATAAGATAAAGACAGCAAACTGCCATTATCAAACCCAACAATATAACACAATAGGAAGCAATCACTATAACAAAGTATCTATATATCTGAAAACAACCAAGATAACTAAGGAAGTATCTATCTGCAGGTTATTTCTTATTAAGAGGTTACAGTCAGGGGTTGATATTTTTATGGAACTTTTTTTTTTTTAAAGTTTCATTAAAACAGTTTCTGTGAAACTTTTTAAGATAAAAGTTCCATTTTAACAGTTCCTGGGAAACTTTTTTTTAATAAAGTTAAGGTTAAAAGTTTAACTTTAATTTATTCCGTTCATTAAAAAATAAATAGTGATTGGGCTTAGATTAGAGTTATACTGAATTACACATGATTCTAATGTGCCGTCTGTTTGAATAGCTATGAATAAGTCATTTTTTAGACAGACTTTTTAGCAAAATCGGCAGAAGTTGTAGGTAAAAGATGTTTAAAAATAAAAGTTCTGTAAATCCTTTACATGAAAAAATTGGAAGGGAAAGAACTCTAGTTCCAAAAGAACAGGAAAAACTATCAAACAATGAAAATTCTGATGATAGCGAAACAACTGTTTATAAATAAAAAAAAAAATTTTTTCTGTTTCAAGTCCTGGTTATAGTCAGAAAGTACCATTGAATAAAAAACAATAAATAAATATATTCAAATACTCAGTAACTTCATTCTTGTATAAAACTATGGACAAAAGAAAATGGGATTCCTACACAGCAAGACAAAATACTTTCTAGAAAAATTAACTTTTTTAAATAATCCGTATCACTAGCAGCAGTCAATACTTCATTAAATCAAGTGTGCTCAGATCGACAGTGAAAAATTTTGATGCATCATAAAATTTCAAAGGTAATATTCTCATCATTGCACACATTAATTTTTTCATGTACATACAAAAACTATTTATTGAAGATTTTAGAGAATCAAACATTTAATTGGTTGATAAAGACAAGATCGAATTCATAGTACTTACAGGATCTCCTAAGCTCAAGGCCGTGCAAAGACTAGCTCTATCTTCAAACTCAATATAGCCGAAGCCTTTGGCTCTTGCAGTCTTCTCTTCCTTAGGAAGTCGGACACTTTTGATCTGAAAAAGTAAATAGTTAATAAACGACAATGTATGGCTTAACGTTAAGTAGATCACTAAAGAATATTTCTAAATTTAAGAAGAATATATATTTATTCAATAAAGTAACATTCTGATAATGCGTTACCTTATTCTACAATCTTATTTAAGATATACAGTGTGTCTCACTTCTTAGTGACCAAACTCTGGAGAGGAGTGGGGGAAGTGATTATAGCACAAATTTCTTACAAAAAAGTTCATTTGATACATGGGCTAATAGGAAAAGAAGTTAGGACCAATTTTGTGTGTTCACATTTTTTATTGAATAAGAAGAAATTGTTAAAAATAATAAAATTTTAAGTACGCCATCATAAAGTAAGACTACTTTTTTTGTTGAGAAAACTGGTTAAATTTACTAATGTCAATGATAAAAGAGACTTTTCAGGAGGTCTAATATGGCCACCATACTTCTACAGTACTCATACACGAGTAGCATATATGCGTACAGCGTCACTACTAGATCATATACATCCATATTAGACCTTCTGAAAGTCCTTTTATCATTGACATTAATAAATATTATCAGTTTTCTCAACAAAAAAAAGTAGTCTACTTTATGACGGTGTACTTAGAATTTTATTATCTTAAACAATTTCTTCTTGATAAAAGCGACTTACAGAAAGTCTAATAAGGATGTGTATGATCTAACAGGGACGCAGTACATAGATGTGCTGCTCATGTAAGAGTACTGTAGAAGTACAGTGGTCATATTAGACCTCCTAAAAAGTATCTTTTATCATTGACATTATTAAATTTAATCAGTTTTCTCAACAAAAAAAAGTTGTCAACTTAATGATGGTGTACTTAGAATTTTATCATCTTCAAAAAATTGTTCTTATTCAATAAAAAATGTGAACACACAAAATTGGTGTTAACTCCTCATCTGTTCAGAATTGGCCCATGCATCAAAAGAAGTTTTTTACTATTAATTTTGTCTAGGATCACCCCCCCCCCCCCAGAGTTCGCCAGTAAGAATTGAGACACCTTGTCTATGTAGTCACATGATAAACTGTTACGTCACTTCAATGTCTCATTATAATGACATAATAACACTTTGCCCGCATGATAGTGGTTTTCATCATATTAATATTCATAAAAATTATACTAAAATAAAAGGACTTTTTAACTCCAACATTAAAAAATAAGTTTTTTACTCTACATAAAGACTCAGGAAAGTAAAAAACTCTTTTCTTAGCATAAAAAATGACATTTTGCTATTAGTCAGATGTAAACTATCTTAGTTACTTATTCATAATTATATATGATCGGATTTCATTGTGTTATAGATTTTAGTTAATGGTCTTAATAGTTAATATGTTTATTTTAAATTATTTGCTTAGCTTATTTATGATATTAAACAATTTTTAAGATATTGTATCACTTATAATAACAATGTAGTACCTTTAAGTCCTGAAACAGAGCTACCAATTCATCTTCATTAAGATCATATGGTATGTTTGAAAGATAGGCCTGGAAGGGACCAGTTGTTGGCAATTTGCTTTCGTCAAAAGCGGTACTCCTTGATGCTCTAGGAGCTGTAGGGAGCACAAACTTTCCTGACGCATTGTTGTCATGATGAGTATCTGTAATTAAAAAATATTGTCTGTAATTTAAATATAATCAAAGTTTAATTGTAACATATAGGTAAAAGAAATCTTTGATAAGAGTCAAAAGTAAATACTTCAATGAGATGTTAACATATTTTTTTTTGCTGAGAGGAGACTAGGCAGTTCTATCACTCAGTTATTAGACTGTCAGTTGTCTCTGGTTTTTCCATGGAAACTCTTACATAGATAGATAGGTTCTATTTATCTACCTAACAAACTTACAGATTTAGGACGTTTACACTACCTGAACTAGGATCACCTTCCTAGGCAGCAGAGCATGTCAGAAGACACAGAAAAGGCATTTGCTTTAAATCAAGGAAAAAGGAGTAACTTCTATATCTTCAGTACGAAAAGGGAAATAACCAGACAGTCACATAGAAATTTTGTCATAAGGACTTATTTAGAAGCTGCTCCAATAAACAGATAACAGGTGGCATGCTTTGGCGGCTCCTAAAAGCTATACGCTTTTATAAATTGGACCCAGTTACAATTCAGAAAATGTGAATAAATTCTTTCCAAATTGAATAAAATAATTTTTTTTTAAATTCTAATCAGCCACATACAAATGCAAATGCCCTCCCAACCCCTAATTACGATGTTTTCATAAATAGCATTACTAATCAAGAAACAATGACTGCTCAAGCTAAATTAAACTTCAAATGCACAAAAGTTACTGGTTTAAAAATGTGAAAGAAGAAACTGACCATGAGAATCATTAGTGTCGTTTTAAGTAATAATAATAATTTCTTGAATTTATTATTTAATGATTTTGGATACCAAAAGTTTTAAAATTAGTTAATTATTTTCATCATATTTAAGGTAATGATACTTCCAATTTCCTTCAAATTCTTTTAATTACATTTGTTATCTCTAACGTTTCGGGACAATTTTCTCATTATCAGAGCAATCTTTATCATTTTCTTTTTTTGATGTGGCACCGTTTGTCAAAAAATCAAATATTTGTCCCATTTTTAAAAATATTTTTTGGTGTTTCACATCTTTCCTTATTCATTGATACACTAACCAACATCCGAGATATGAAACGTAAACGTAGGCTTCCTAATAAAGAAGGAAAATTAAGAAGTTAATTATTTTCTTTTATTATGTAAATAGTTGGAGGATCTGCCGTCAGTTTCAATCCATGAGGCATGGAGGAATTTTCAAGTTCTGTCTATAATAATGTTCTATATGCAACAAAAGCCACGCATGGCAATCCAGTTTTGAGTATTTTTTTATAATTTTTTTTTTTTTACTTTTTTAAGTATTTGAGTACTACCAGTTACTTTTTTTGTCACTTATTAAGAACTTTTACAGATTTTTCAAATACACGTGATTTAATAAATTATTTTGATTGCACTATTGAGGTTATGACCTGAATCATAAACAAATTGTTTTATTGAGGGTGAATTAAAAAAAGAACTTCATAAAATTAAATAACATTGTTTCATCCTAAATGAAGGGCATTACATGAAATATTACAGATAGAAAATTTTAGCCACCTGAAAATTAATATTGTTAAACATTTAGAATATTTCAAAATCCCAAAGTGAATTTATTTTGTGTTTTTACATTTTTTGTGTTTGATATCAATTTTCAATAAAACATTTATTTATAATATGACCATTATATTAACTTTTTATCTCTAAAAATTAATTAATGTGGGACAAGTAGAGTGTTATTTTGGACATACTCGGATATTTCTAATATTCCATACACAGTAGGATTGAAGTAATCGTGGTCTTCTAACCATATGCGAGACAAGTGATACTTCGGAAGTATCATACCTAATGCAAATGGATTTTTCACTGATGGGTTATAACTACTTTGATGATTATATATCAGGGTTTAAATACGAAAATTAAAATCAAATCCAATCAAAATTATTATCTGGAATTATAAAAATCATTTGATGATTATATTTAAGAAATTTCTAGTTTTGATCATAAGTGATAAAAATCATACCCTGGTCATTGTTTTTCAACAAAATTTTAACAATTAACAATAATAATTTTTGAGAAATCCTTTTTAAATCAGAAATTTCAATATTTTTTATAATCTCAATGATATGTTTTAAGTATGGAGTAGTAAGTACAGAATTTTTTTGGCACATATATATATCCATAATATATATATATATATATATATATATATATATATATATATATATATATATATATATATATATATATATATATATATATATATATATATATATATATATTGTCCCAATGCATGAAGCTGGTGAGTTTAATTTTAAAATAAAATTATTTTCAAGTGCTCAGTTGTCAACAGATAACGTTTAAAACACCCTCTTAATAGAAATATATGTAGGTACCATGTGCACAACACAGTTAAATAAATCAATTTCAGTAATATAATATTTTAAAATGTGCAAATTAATAATGTACACATTTTAATATATTGATTTGTGTTTAATAGGTTATTTTTATTTTCTCATCAACATTTATGCTATCACAATTTAATCATTATTATTTATGTAATATCATATCACTCAGTGAGTGATCTTTATTTTTAATCAGATCAATTAAAAATTAATATGAGGAAGATTTAAATTTTTATTTATAAATGAGGTGATTTTTAAATAAAAAATTAAATACAACAATTATTACATAATTTAGTGGACAAATAATTAATAAATAATAGATAAGAGCTGATTATGAACTCTTTTTTATTTAATATTTAAAGGATTTTGTTGCACAACTATATTTTAAAGTTTTTCAAATAAGCAGTTATAAGTTTTAACTGCATGAAAATCTGGTCTCAAATCGTGAATAAAATCTTATTAAGCAATTATAAAGATATTTTTGGCAGTATAAAAACAAATTTGGAAAAGGTGTAAAAATATCATATAAAGTTGACAAGCGTGGTTGACTGAAGATAAATGGAGATGGTTAATGGCTATACATTCCTATTGCAAATAACCGTGTGAACCTATTTCTCCTTAAAACAAATAATTAATTAAATTAATAATAATTAAAATAATATTAGGTTATTTTACACACAAAATATCGAAATAACGACGATATTACATTTGTGACAGACAATAATCAAGAAACCATGAACTTTTATGGATTATTGAGTAAAATAACTTCCAATAACAATTTTTTTTTTTTAATCAATTAAAAAAATATCATAAAATTAAAGTGATATATTGAAAGAAAACCAGAAGTAAAACACCAACTTAATAATGAATTAAAAATAAATAAAATTAAATAAATTTCAGATAACATTAAAAAATATGTAAAGAAGTTTATAAATGAATTTAACTTGTAATAATTCTAACTAAAATCAAAATATATCTCATCTTGGTCCACATTTAAATAATTTCACAAACATTAAAATAATATTATGTGGATGCTGTCATGAATAATTTGAATTATACTTTACCGTTAACTCAATTATAAAAGAAAAATACTAAAAATATATTTTTAAGTATAAATTTATAACATCTGGTGGTTTCAGTAATTGAATTATTGAATAAAATATATTCATCTATCGGCCAGTTTGAATAGTATAATTTATTTAGTTTTCAATGTTGGAAATGTGAGTTAACCTAACCTGTCAAAAAACATGTGCTGGACTTGAGTTTTGGCATTTCAAGAACAGTGACCATGTGAACTTAGTACATGTGTCATTCTTGCATAACATTCCTATAGCTATACTACAAATTTAACTGTCAACGTAAATTAAAAGGACTGTTCCCAGATGAAATATCATTAGTTTATATTTTAATTGTATATAATAATTCCAAAATAATCAATATTCCTAGCAAGACTGAATATAATTGGTCTGTATAACTACAAAAAAAAAAAACATAAACTAACACAATGGAATATAATGAACAAAATCTGTTCTCATTCAAAATAGTTATGTATAAATGTAAATTATACTTTAAGAAAGCTAAGCCAATGATGAACAAACATCGTTTATATTCCTTTATTTGTCTCGCCTACATTAATTTTGCTAACTAGAACATATGATTAAACAAAGAATATGATGAAAGAACAAAACAGGCTTCTTAAATAGAACATAAGAACTCATGATGGAGAAATAATCTATAAGTAGAATATCCATAAAAGACTAAAAGGTTAAAATTTAAACAGTATATATTAAACTCTTGAACAGTGATAATAAACAAACCTAACAAGACAAAAAATACTAAGCTTACTGATAAGGTGCAACATTTATATATTCAATTTAAACAGTACTGCATTATCCATAAATTCAAGACAAACTATTCTATAGCCTTTATAGTTAATTAATAATTAAATAATATGAATGACTACAATAACATGGTAAAGACAATAAAATTTAAACCTCAGGTTCGAAAGATGACTTGATGTAAAATCAGAGGTATCTTAACAAACAAAAAAACTAAAGCTGGACTTTTAATGATCCTAACAATTGACTCTTACATGCATTATCAATACTAAAAAAGTTGCAATACTCACATTGGATACTTGTGTCTATTTCTTTATCAACTTCATCAGCCCAGTTGAGAGGTTTTCTGGATGAATCAATTATAATATCAGCATTAACTTGCTTCCAGTTTGTTTTTTTTTTTTTACCTAGAAACGAATGAAGACATTAAAGGTTAAAACAGCAGTTAATGAAGTAAATACTTTAGCATTACTAACTACTACATGCAAATGTCAAGCAACTGGCTAATTATTAAAAAAAGTTACATTTCGAAATTTCCATAAGACAGAACACATTAACGATCACAACAAGGGCAAGATAAAATAGTAACACGTCTGTGAGATTAGATAAATTTTGAAGATGCGTAAGAAAAAATTACTGAGAATTTAAACATTGAATTCAACGTGATGGAATGACGTTTTTTTAAATTTAATTTTTCATTCCCATCTGTTATTATGGGTGGGTATGGTTTGATATCAAGAGTTAAACAGTGTAACAGTAATTTGCACTAACTACCGAAAATAGTAAAATAAATAAATAACCACTTGATCAGATAAAAACTGCTGTAAATGTCGTATATAAAACGGTATAAAACTTTATTCGCCGATATCTGAGCCCATTCTTAATATACTTGCCACGAGGTTTCTTACGTGAAAGAATAATGGCATAATTTTGGGGAACTATCGCACTTATCCCCAACAACACAAAACAAACTAAATATCACAATCTAAAAATATATAACACTTCTAAGCAATTAATAGCAAAACAACTAAAATATATATCATAAAATAAAACAAAAAACTGTAAGCACTAATAATATGTTTGGAACGAACCTATCGCAGCCATTTTGCACAAGCAAGACTGAGGATTCGTTGCATCCTTGGGATTTTTTAATGGCCGTGAAGAATCGACTTCGATTTATGGAATTTGTGATATCCTACAAAAATAATTAAATTAACAAGATAAGATTATTTTTATAATTTTTTTAAATTAAAAAAATGTTTAAAAAATATATAATTAAAGAAATATTATTTTTTGAACTTCTACTTAACCTAAGGCAAAAATCCTTTTAGAAAAAATGAATATATGCCAATTGTTGTTAAATATTAAATTATTTCTTTTTTAACAAAGATAAACACTAATATCAGATTTTTGTTTTTATAATAACATCTTCTCAGTTGGCGGTAACTTGTTGTCAAATTGTTATAGATGAATAACCTGATATCGCGGTATAGATTGTTAAAACTTGATTGTTTGAATTAAGGTTTCTCGAATTATGATGTGTTAATACTTGTTTATTCATTCTTTATCAGTTATTAAAATAATTTCAAAATGAATGGGCCTGGTGTAAGTATATTTCAAGGCAATGATTCAATCAAACTTAATAATTCAAATCAAAAGGAGGAGGAAGAGTTCTTAGAAGATGAAAGAATTCGGAATGATGAGGTATTTATATATCTTAGTAGTTATATAGGTTTAACTTTATTATTTAATTTATAATATGTATTGTCTTAACAGTTGAGGAGTTTAATCAATAAAGCCTTTAGTGATCTTGATGAGGATGATGACAGCTCTATTTCTAGCAGTCACTGCAGTTTACCTTGTGGTAATTTATAGCTGTTGCAATTTCCTATTTAAAGTTGTATGTATCACTATAAGTTTGTTTTTATTTCAGAAACTGGTTATAATTCTACTCAAAATTCTGTTTCTGGCAAAGAAAACCAATATTCAAGAGAAAGTTCTATAAGTTCGAATTTTCCTAGTAATCATAAGACACAATTGGAAAACAACTACATAGATCACTCTGATCTTATTAACCAAATTCCCTATAGAGGTATCAAGTTTGATCATTGTATATTTGTATTAAGCTCATGATTAATCTTTCTGTGATCTAACTTATCCATAATTTAAGTAGCTTGAGTCTCATAAGTTTTATTTATTATATATATTTATATATATATATATATATATATTTTTTAGAACATTTCTTGTGAAGCAATGAATGAGACATTTTTGTCACCCTCTTTGACTCGTGTCAAGTTTATCTGACCACCTGTGCTTCATTTGATTCTTATAGAGATTTTTCATGGCTAGAACACGTCACTGTTTGCTAATAATATCATTTTCACAAAACTTAGGGTTGTTTTGAAAAACATGCCCTTTTAGATTTACTTCTTTATCCACGAAAAATATGGGTTTTATATATATATATATATATATATATATTATCTCCTATTAAATAATCAGAGAGTAGGCCAAAAATAAGTTCGTCAGTGTTAAAGAATTAAAGAAAATAAATCTTTTTAAATAATTTAAGTATTTAAAAAGTAATATGATGATTCCTAAATATACTATATTGGTGGGAGGTATAAGTTATAAAAGGTGGGCTTGTTGAAGCCCGAAATCGCTCTCAGACTTGCTAAAATTTTGTGTTTTCTGATTTTGGCATTACCAGACACTTACAGTTGACATAAGTCAATGTCCACTTACAAGACGATATGTTCCTTCAGAAAGTTTAGGGAAGTCATGTTCCCACATATGGGCCAACCCAATGCTGGAGTATTACCTGTTAATGTCAAATTTGATGTTAGTTTTGTAAATTTTGATTACTGTGTCTCTACTTAATTGTTTCTATTTTTGATAACATTGATAATTGGTAACTATGCTTATGTTGTTATTATTTTGACTAGAAGTCTGTGTTTGTTTAATAAACTCTTTAATGTAAAGATATAAGCTTTCTAACATAAAGTCATTCCAGAATAGACTAAATGTAGCTCAAACATCTACCTCAATTCTTATACAGTACATTAAATGGCATAGATATACTACTGATGTTTCATGCAAGCTAATTGTTAAACATATTGTAAATAATTGCAACACCAACCTGTCATTGTTGAAAAAAAAAAACTATTCAATTGGGTGCACATCTGAATTACATAATTCTTTAATTTTAAATCAAATCAAATGTTTGCTTATCTAAAACAAAACAATAAATAAACACTTTGGTAGGCAGATCAGGGCATCTGTTTATGAAGTTCTAAAACCTTTTAGCTTGGTATTAAGAAATTATTTATTTTATTTTTTTAAATTGAATTGGACAATGTTTATAAAATAATTTACATACTATATATTATATTACTTTCGCTTATCTATATTTTTCTAAACATAATTCTCCCCATGATAATTGGAGCGATCTGGGATCGTAGTACTAACAAATGGAGAAAAAATACCGATAAAGAGTACCTGCTTAAAAAAGCTGGTCAATCAATATTTCATGATATGAAGGCGTAGAGGTTAAGATAGGTGGTGCATGTAGTTTGAAACAATCCATCTGGAAGCCTCTACATAATTATGAATGCCTCAATAGAAGGCAAATGACCATGTGGAAGGCTAATAAAGAGCAGATGGATAGATAGAATCAACAATAGAGCTTTATGCAGATAGCTGGAAAGAAGTGGCCCAAGATAGGCTGAGATGGAGTAGGCTTGCTAAGGCAGCAAATCTACAATGTCTGTTATGTCAACAGGAAAAAAAAAAAGTTTTGGATTTATAAAAGTAATTGTAATTTGTAGGGTTTAGCAATCATATATAATCTCAACTCTTGCTCAAAAAACTTAATCCTCTACTTTGCTATTCCATTCTACCTTACGTAAAAAATTGTTTTTATTTATTTCCATCTGAGCCTGCCTAAAGTTAAAGTGGGCTTTAGTCACCGACCTGCTTTTCTGCTAGCATGTGAGATTCTTGTTCCAGGCAGGGGACGCATACCTCTGAATACCCTTCTGTATGACTTTAGCAGCAGGGTATCCGAGGCTGCAGATAGTCTCTCTCTTCACAACTAAAGCTGTTCGAGGCTATTGGCCATCTTATTTCCCAGATAGTCTAAATGAGGGGTCTAAATGTTACTATCCTCTTCTGATTGGTACTAAAAGTCTGACTTTTGCAGGTGATCAACATATTGTCTCTGAAACCTAAATTTAAAATTATCTTTGCCCAAACTAATGAGATTTTCAGTTAAACGCCCCCTTCAAATTTGGCTCTCCTTTTGGTATTTATCTTCTGATTAAACCTTTTTAAATTAATCTTTCGAATCGTTGTTTTTTTTTTTTTTTAAATGGTATTAATATATAATTAGTGCATGAGACTTATCTTCAACTATAGAATTTAATGAATTATTGAAGGAAAGGAAACGTTAGCATAAATAAAAAATTTAAATTTTCTTTAAAAAAAGACTGCGTCCTGAATATTTATCACCCATGACATAAAGAATTTAAATTTAGTAGATAATTTTGTCTTTTTTTTTTTTTTTTTAATGTTGGCTTTAAGCTCGTCGACCCCTACTGGGTCCATTGTGCGCCAATATTCACTAAGTCGTTTTGTTTAAAACGTTAGTCCTGTCGCTTCCGCGTATCTAAGTAGGCTGGTTGGATTGACCGACTCATATCTTCTGGGGAGATCCATCTGTTCCTCCCCAAATACCATCAGTCTCAGCCTTATAAACCTGTCACATCTACATATCATGTGAAAAGCTGTTTCATTCTCCTCCTGACAGAATCTGCATAGCGGATTCGTCATTACTCGGAGATTGAACATATGATTATTTAACTTACAGTGACCTGTATAGATCGCTGTAAGTTTTTTAAGAGCTGCTCTGTCCATGTTCAGTAGCTGTTTACTTCTTTTTTTACATGGGCCTTCAAGGAACAGCTTCGAATGTCTCTGTTTCCTGTCGGTCCAGTAATTGTTTGTCCAGTAATTTTGTCTTCTTCTATGTTATTCCCTCTATATGGCTATGTTAGGGAGTAAAAAAAAAAGTTAGTGGCCCTCTTTAGGTCCTCCAGACTACCGAACAGCTTGGTCCCTAGGTCCAGTTGCCCGGCGAAATCCATAAGAGAAACACCTCTCACCATAATCTTTTGTTCATTTGTAGCCATTTTGGGAAGTAATGCATGATGTCCAGTTTTCCTTGACCATCATAAAAGATGTCTATGGCCAATCAGGAGACTATGGTCCTGTTGATTTTCTGGTCAGCACCCGGCTGACTACTACTGTCCTCGGCTCCATGCCAGTACTGGTAGCGCTGCTGCCTGCTACCAGGGATATTTATCGACCTCCAGGTCTTGATCCGCATTGTTCAGTCGAAAGCAGGATCACCTATGGCAAGATGTGGTTCTTAACCGCTCACGGACAGTCTTGGCAGTAGCGTCCTCGAGATCTCCACTTACAGTTTCTCAGGCTTCTTGGCTACTCTCCTAGTTTTGAGTGAGGACCAGTCTCTAGGTCTTCCGTAGTACCTTGACCCTTCTGATATTTTTTTTTTTGCAAGTTTGTCTTGTGAGGAAATACTGCATCATTATATTTCTGATTTTAATGCTTTTATTGCTTTTCAACTTAAGAATCTATCCCAGTTAATCAGATTTAATTTCAAATGGTCCTTCTTTAAATGCTCATGAACTAAATTTATATTGTTTATTGCAGGTAATTCATACCAAGTACCCAATAATGATGGATATTCATCTCATAATGACCATTGTTGCCAAACAAATTCTTTTGGGCATAATGCACCGCCTAACCACTTAGAAGTTTATAAACAAACTGGTTAGCAATTTTTAATTTTATTTTAATAATTTATTTATTTTTTTGTTAAATTGGTTTTATAAATAACTAATATTTTAGATTTAAATGGAATGACTCAATTGAAAGTGTTGTATGATGTTAGATTAAGAGAGATTGAAAAGCTCAAAAATGATTTAGAAGCTGAAAGAGATGAAAAAGAGCATATATTACGTAAGCTGAATGTAAGTGAACATGACAAGAAAAAATTGGAACTTAATTTAAATAGCTGTCAGTCTTTGTTAAGTGAGTATTGGACGGATATTGTATTGCCATTGTTTCTTTGGTAATATCATAATCAAGATTATGACAATGTTTATCTATTTTTTAAATTTTATTACTTTTTATTTTAGCTGAAAGTAAGAAGAAAATATTGGAATCAGAAAAGGAAATAGTTGATCTGAATGAAAATATTAAGATAATAGAAAAATCTAAGTTAGAAGTAAGTATATTAGCATTTCTAGTAGGCCAGGCAACTCACTTTTATGTGGTTTTTCGTGGTTCCTACTATAGGCGCTGCATTATTTGTTTTCCAGAACTCTCTCATGATTTTATCCATTACTATGTTAAATAGTCTTAGTAGTCTCATTTTTATCTGGAAGGATTTGCTGATTAGTCTTTGGAATTTTACTTTTGATTTTGTATTCGTTAGGGTTAATTTTATAAGATTTGTTGTTTTCTGGTCTACTCCATATTCCCTCAGTATTCCCAGTAAGGTTTTCCTGTCTACTGAGTCATAGACTTTCTTAAAGCCGAGGAAGGAGATGTAGAAGTTTTTGGGTCTCACCATGTAATATATTATCAGTAATTTAAGGCTTAGGTAGGATCTGTTCTTGGCGAGATCTTCCTTTCCTGAAGTCTCCCTGGTATTCCCCAATTCGCAGGTCTATTTGTGGTTCTAGTCTGTTTAGCAGAGCTTTTGAGGAAATTATGTAAGTGGCCGGTGAAATAGTGAAATTTCTCTGTAATTGTTTACTTCTGTTTTTGGCCTCTTTTTATGTAGAGGGTGTATAAATGAGGTTTGCCAGTCTTCTGGTATTTCCTCTTTTATCCAGACATCCATTAATAGCTCTGTGACTTTTCTTCTGAAATCTTCACTTGTTATTTTCTACATCTCTACCAGGACGTCATCTTCATCAGAGACGTTTTTGTTTTTAAGAACCCCTATTATTTCGCCCATCTCCTCCTTATCTGGAGGGGTCTGATTCTCTATTTTGTAATGTGTTTCCCTCTGTTACTATTTTTTCTCTTGGTTCTTCGCAATTAAGGAGTTTTTTAAAGTAGTCTGCCAAAATTTCACAGTTTTCTTCATTGTTTAGTGCTAGTGTCCTGTCTTTTCTCTAACTTTATTCTGAAATGCCTTGTAGAAAAGTCTGGTGTCGTTTCTCCTGAAATTTTCTTCCATTTCTCCCAATCGGTCATTATGGAATTTCTTTCTTAGTTCCCTCATATTTTTACATGTGATTTTTCTTACTCTTTTGTATCCCTCTAGATTGTTTGTGGTTTTGTTCTGGTTCCATGTTTTCCATGCTTCCAGTCTCTTTTTTATTGTTCTTCCACATTCTTCATTGCACCATGCTCTCTTCCTGTGGAGGCTCTGTGTCGCTAGTTGTTCTCCAAGTCCTGTTAGATTTTTTGTTACTTCGTCCCAAATTTCAGGTGTTCTTAGTTTTTCCTTGAATTCTTGTTATTTTTGTTTTACTAATATTCCTCGGTCTACTTTGCCCATTCTTTTCTTCTCTGTTCTTAGGGCCTTTTTTGCTGGTACAAAGATCATCTTAATTTGTTAGGGATAATGGTCTGATGTTACATTTATTGCACTTCTTACTTTGAAGTTTTTTATTTCCTTGTGGTTTTTCCTAGAAATTGCAACATAATCTAACTGGTATTCTCCCAGGATTTTATTGAAAGTATTACAATCATAAAAAAATTCAAATTTGAGTTTTCAAAAGAAATACACGTTTTGAGGTCTCTTAAGTTCAAATAACCAAGTCTTGCAAAATGGTCTGTGTGTGTCTCTATGTGGACTGTTTAGCTCAAAAATGTAAAGTCATATGAAAGTAAAATTGCATATTTAATGTTTTTGTATGCCTGATTTGTTACAGCAACTTTTTCATCAAAATCGGCTAAATTCATTATATCAGTGTAAAATTAAGTAGTTTTTAATATAATAAAGGTTTTATTCTCATCAATGTTCTTTAACAGAGCTTAAATGGCTAATTTTCAATATTTCTTCCTCTGAAGTATCTTTAAGGTTTTTTAAAGGAAGGACATGGTCCAGGGTGGTGGTCATAAATAGGCTAAATAGTGACAAAACTATTTTATTAAAAGCTACGTTTCGACCCGACTTTGTAGGTCTTCTTCAAGGCTTAATGTTTTTTATTTAAAATAATTAACCACTTCTAATTGAACTCTGATAAAAAAATAAATAAATAGTTAAATGTAAAATATGAAAGAATTTGATATATAACTAAAGAAGTAAGAAATCGTAACGGTGAATAGTTGTAATAAATTTACCAAATAAATATGAGCATGTTTGAGCTCACCCAAAATATTAGAACAGTCTTCCATATGTAACATGAGCATAATATAATACGGACTCCGACAATATTATATAAATATACATATGCGATTTTCATGAATGCTATCATTGGTATTATTTAATATTTAATTGTATAGATTACAACGATATAAAAATTAAAACCTGTATATATAGGGGATATTAAACAAATAAAAATACCCACAATGAAATATAAAATAAATAAAGCGGTCTTCTTTATCAGTCAGACGATAAATATTTTGTTACACTTAATTATTTATTGTAATAAATAATTGATTTATAATCAAATAAATGGTTGAAATATACAGCTGTAAAAGGAAATGGCTAGTGTCAAACAAAATAAATATAATACATTAGATGGCTTTGAAAAACATTTGGAAATTAATTGTTTTCAATAATATTTCATACCGTCTACAATTTTCACTTTCACTTCCCTTTGTCTGAAAATACTTATTTCATCCAAAAAGAGGGTGGTAAATAAAAGTTGTGTGATGCCCGCACCGTTCTATTTTTGGTTTCTGTTTATCATTTCAAGTTGCACAGTTTTGAACAAGATTTTTATTTTCTCTCTGATGATTTAGGATTTTTTGTGTTAGAGAAAAATTGGGAATTATGCTTAAAAAAAAAAGCTAGTCAACAGACATTTCCATTTTAATTCCAGTTTTTATTTAATTTACAATATTGCTTCTGAAGGTATTGAGTCGGAAAAGAATTTTTTGAAAACATGTGTAAGACTTTTAAAATCCCTAGGCTCATATAATGTTTTTTTTTTTTTTCAATCTCTTATTTGTATTATAGTGTAATATCATATGATATAACAATTTGTTTATCTAATTATATATCTTTTGATTCTTAGTTGTCAAATGAATTAGAAATTGTTAAGGAACAATTGCTTCACCAACAGCAGAAATACATTGCTCTCGAACGTTCTGATATTAATATAAAAAGAGAAAAACAAATGGATTTGGTAATCGAGTCTATAAATTCTAAGCATAAAACTGAAATCAATTTTCTGCAACAACAATTAGATGCTGCTATAGATAAAATAAACAGAAAGGTTTGACTTTATATACATTCTATTTCCATCTTCAATTGTAGTATAGTTATTTACTTCTATCATTGTTCTCTTGAAACCATGATGTTAATTTAATTAGTATTTTCACCTTTCAACTTTTTGTGTATGGTCTACTTGCAGGAAGATGATTACAAAAACCTTGAAAAGAAACTTGAAGAAATGGAGCAGAAGCATGCTGCTAATTTATTGAATAAATGCGATTCAACTATACGTCAAGAGGCAACTGTTAAAGCATTATTAGATGAAGCCAATAAAGAAAAATTGGAATTGACGAGGAAAATCAATTCTCTTCAGGTTTTAATTTAAATTGTTACTTCTCTATTATTGAAATTCTCATTTTATGTATAATGTATTTAGGTTATTGTTTAATATATCTACTTCTGATCCACATTGCTCTGAAAGCGGTTATTCTACAATTTGTGGTCTTGATTTGAAAAAGTTCTAACTAGCAAAATTGGGGAAATTGAGTTTTCACTCATAAATCACTCCCAACAAAGTTATCTATGTTCCAGATGTATATTAGTGCCAACAATTGAAATATAAATAAACCAGAAGTGTGATATAGTTCTAACTGCTGACAACTTTTGAATGTAATTAGTTTGAGAAGGTTCCAACTGCAATACGCTGGTGGATGATAATTGATTTATAGTTATTTTGATGATAGTTAAACATGAATTTATATTATTATTATAGATCTGTTTTATGTGTATAACATATTCGAATCGGTTATTTCAGATTCGAAATATATGATATTTCAATAATTTTTAGAAAATATATCGTTTAAATTTAAAATAAATTGTAAACAAATTTTACATTATTTATGCCAGGTTTTTAGCTATGAATTTATCATTAGATGATCAAAACATGTTTTGTAAAACTTTTACTCTGGCATTGTTTATGCAAAAAAAAATATATATTTCTGTCTTTGTTCTTATTTTTCTTTAATTATAACCGAAGAGGAGGATGGTTGGGGCGATTAGCCAAATTGAAATGGTAAAAAATAAATAATTTTATTTATTTTTAAATTCGCCGACGTTTCAGCCCGAAGTTCAGGGCTGAACTTTGTGACTATTTTGAAAAACACAAAAAAATGTTAATGTCTCTGTCAGGAGGGAGGGGTTTCTATTCGCAACTGTGTGTAAAAATGATAATGAATTTTTAATCAGTACTTTTATATATATAATATATTTATTATTGTGTCGAGTTGGCCAATCTTAATTTGTTGTAATTTTATTATGTTATCAGCAAGAGTGCAATATGCTGAAGAACGATCTTGAGCAGTGTCAAATGTTTCCGAAGTTAAAATATCTTGGGAACAGTTCATCTGAAGAAAAAGAGTCTGATTCTTTTATTTTATTGAGTTCCTCATGGAAACCAGAGTCTAAAAAGAAGAGTATGGACCTAATACAAACTGATGTTGTCAGTAAATTGAAAGATGAACTTCATAGAGCTCTAATAGGTATTTGGCTTCTAATTTATCAACTTATTTGATTATACTTAGTAAAATTTCATTTTCGAAGTTTTAACATAAATAAGTCGGAGCAAAACAACAGTAAATATTAAGTGCCATTATTAAATAATTAGTTGTGTCTTCTCATATACTCAGTATATATTATTATTATTATGAAACCCTCTCCTAGAAACCACACATCTCCAAAATTTCCCGCCATATTATTTCCACCCTGAAACAGTTTAACCATCTACCTTATCTTCTCTCATTAAAAAAATCCGTAAACTCCTGGTCTCATCTCTTGGTTTCCCCCACTTCGACTATGGCTGTATGGTGTATGGTCGAATCTCTGGAGAACTTGAAGCTAAACTTAAACGTATAATGAATTGCTCAAACCACTTTATCTTCGGGATCTCAAGGGATACGCATATTACCCAATTTTACACTGAGTTGAAGTGGCTTTATCTGTCCTATCGCTGTCAGTATTTCCTTGCTACCTTCCTGTACCAGGCCATTAGAACTCGGTGAACCTCCTATATTATACAATTCAAACGCTCCTTACAATCCCGTCCTATCAGATCCCGTACCTCTGACCTCTATTTTCCTCCTCACCTAGTTGCTGCATTTGACAAATCCTTTTTAATTCAAGTTGTCTCTCTCTGGAACTCTATACCCTCAGATATTCGACACGCAAAGTCAGTATCCTCTTTCAAATCTCTCTTCTTCAAATACCTACTCCATTCCCAATCCGATTGATCACAAAATGCACTTAAAAACCTAAGCTGTAAGAATCTCAAAGTACACCGAGTACTTTGATTATTTTGTGTTTCATTGATATTTGGTTTACTTAATTTACTTTCTCTGTTTATTTTATGTTTTCATATCTTTTTATTATCTATAATTTTATTGTATTCCCAATCATCCTGCAAATATTTAATTGTATTTTATGGACACACCAGAATATAAATATATGTTATGCACTTGTAACTTGTTCTAAAGGGACATTAGTCCCAAAATAATAAAATTATTTTCATTCATTCATTATCACAAGTAGTTGACATATTTATTTTATTTTTTAAGTTAAAACTCAGGTGTACAACCTACCGGTTTGTTTGTTCTGAAACTATAAAACTATTTTATTTTAAGGGCAAAGAGCAAAAAGACTGGAAATAAGTAAATTACAGGAACAGATTAATCATAAAGATTCAATTATTAAAAAAATGAAAGAAGATGAAGAATATCATTTGAAGCAAACTGAAAACTTGAAGGTAATTACACAACTTAAACAAAAATGTTATCATTTAATTATACATATTAAGTTACATAAGAAATAGAAATAAGGAAAAATTGTATAGTTGTGATAAAAATGGTCTTTTTGGACTTTATAAGGAATAAATAATTGTAATCATCACTAATCCAAATGGTAAATATCATATTTTCTTCTTCTTCTTCCATTGGCTCTACAGACCATTACTGATCCTTGGCCTCCTCGAATAATTCCACCAGTATGCACGCTCTTTGTCAGCAGCTTTCTAGTCGCTGGCCCTCAGGATCGTCCAGCCATCCTCCACTACACGACTTCCTCTACTCCTGGTGCTATAAATGGCCTTGCTCAGTATTTTTAAGGGGATCTCATCCTCTGACATTCGAGCTACATGGCTATCCCACTTCAATCTTCCCAGCCTCATATATTTCTCTATGTCAAGTTCGCCAAGAAGGTTATATATTTCTTGTTTACCTCTCCTGAGGTATGTTTGACTGACTCTTCTAGATACATAAATGTGCTGCAGTATTCTCTCGAAAGCCAATAAGCTTCATTCATTCATCTGTGATATTACCCATGGCTTCGAGCCGTATGTCAGAACCGGTCTGATCAGTGTCTTATACAGCTGCAATTTTGTTGTCCTTGACAGATACTTACTAAATATCCTATCAACAGATGTTAATGAAAAAATAGTGCCAGTTTTGAACTTATAGATTTAGGATTTGAAATAATTCAGTAAAGGCAACAATAATTCTTTGTATTGCTGTTCTTATTGTTATTTAAAATAATTAGAAGAACTTATATTCAAAAAGTCAATTAGCCATCCTACTTCTATTCCTTTATTCTTGACTATGCAGCAATATTAGTTATATTGGTTCTTAGGTTTTTATAATTGATGGCACCTCTTCCATTGGTAAATATTTATTTATGAGCCCCTAGTCCGACATTCCCAGTTCTGGCCCATCTTTGAGGACAATTTATTCTGGTAGTTGCTATCTATAATCTAAAAACTTTCTTAACAACCATCTCATTGACATAACAGTGCATGATAAACATTTTGTCACTTGATTAAAATTATATTTAAAACTAAAATACATTTTTAATAAAATAATTGAGATGGATATTGTTTAAACTGTCACATTGTCTTTTAGTATCTCAGTATAGGACTGAAGTAATGATTTGGAAACAAAATATTTGGAATAATGTTAACAATTAAATAAACGACATTTAAAAGGTAATAAACAGATAGGTACTTTAAAATGATCTCCATACCAAAAATTAATATATAGATAAAGGTTTCGTCAGTGTATATATACAGAGGTCATTTTTTATAACTCCATCCATTATGAAGTGAGATATGTTTTTGGTTTTTAAGTTTATCCTGCTGACATCTCTGTCGTCTTGTTGAAGTGTATGGTGAAGGTTTTTACACTGATGGATCACTAATGACTTGCGGCTCTGGTACTGGCTTTTGGAAAAAGGACAAACCAGAGAATGGAATGTATATACCGCTTGGCAAATATGCAACGGTGTTCGAATCTAAAATTCTGGCGATTTATCGCTGTGTCTCAAGGTCATTGTTCGACGTGTTGGTTGGGAGGAAAATTTCCATCCATACCGACAGTCAAGTGGCAATACGAGCGCTGGACATCTATACAACCTGATCTTAAGCTGTTGAGGACTGTGTGATGATTCTCAACAATCTATCTAGGTTCAATAAGGTAACCATTGAATGGGTACCAGGACACTCTGGTATTCATGAAAATGAGATGTCAGATGAATTAGCTAGAAAAGGAATTATGATTTGTCTAATAAATAACAGAATTATGGATATGTGGTGCTGAGGCTAAGAAATGTTTGAAACAACAAACTCACTCATGGTTGTTCCTGGATGGAATCTGTCCAAAGAGTTAACTTGAACTGGAGTTCTCTCAGGAAAATAACATCGATATATACTGTTCACTGTAAACTGAATTATAATATGTTCAAACTCAGGCTAAGGAAGTCGTCTCTTTGTAAGTTCTGTGGTTAGAAGGACTAAACAGCTTATCACATCACATGTAACAGCTTTGCCGAATTAACATTCCAATTATTCGGTAATGATAGGATGACTGATCCCAAGAAAAAGGAGCTTGTCAATCCAACAAGCCTCCTTCAGTTTGTAGCGATTGCAGGAATAATGTTCTGAATAAGAGTGTCATTAGTAGAGGCATACAATAGGCCTTCACGCAGTGCATTTTGCCACAAAAAAAAAAAATGATGAAGATGGAATGAATGATGGAAATGTGCTTAAATGGTGTAAATTTTTTAATGAAAAAAAGATGAATGTTCATGGCAAAGAATAATCTAGGCAGCCTATTATCATAAATAATGAGTTGATGAGTAATTAGAGTCTACGAGAAAAGTTATGACACATTGGAAGAAACTTTTAGCAACTGATTTAACAATCATTATGCTGAGTTTTTCGAGGAGGGAATTCCAAAACTGGTGCCACGGCTGGAAAAATGTTAAGATATTAATGCTAACTGTAGAAATGTAAAAACATGTTAATTTCTGATATAATTTATGTTCATTAATGAAGTTTCCCTTGATCCATAACAAAAATTTCTTACTTAAAAATGACTCTTATTTATATTGTAATGTTACATTTTTCTGTGATAAATAAGCAAAGCTTTAAATATGATTATAATTTTTTAGTTACTTAAATTAACTCAAAACAATTAAATAAAAATTTATTCAAGGTTAGATTTTGATAACTTAATATTCATAATTAAAGAAATTAAATAAATGCATGTATATAATTTTTAAAATTATGATTTAAGAATTATTGAAGGAAGGTAGTCGACTGTTCTATATATCAGGGGTAGGAATGGGTCGGTACTCCTGTAGTTCAGAAATTGAATACCTTCAGTGTTCGAAACACGCCCTGATGATGACCCATATGTTTGGGTTTAAATGCGGGTACCAATAAAAACTTTATAATGACTGCGTCTTAAATATTTATCACCTATAATTTAAGAAATTATATAATTTTAATCATTGAAGTGGTTTCTCTATATGACAATATACATAACAGGTTTTGTTAATTTAGTTCCTAATTCCATTCATGTATCCATGATCCAACTCATTTAATGTCAAGTATTTTCTGCTTATGTTGATGCTATCATCGATATTCCATCAGATGTATTCCCAGGTTGATACTTAAATGTCTCTTAAACACAAAAACTCATCAAATGTGACCTCATATTACTCCACCCATGGTTGGTTCTTCCTCCAAGAACATTGTTCCACCAATTTCTCAAGTTTCCTGCTAATATTTGAATTTTATCATTCTTTTATTTGCATCCAACAAAACCTAATAATAATAAAAATTAAAAAAATCTATGTTTCTTGTCCAAAATTACAATACATATATTTCTTTATTTGTTATTTTCTTATTTTGATAAAATATCATCCATTGGTGTCTTAATATGGTTTTATTATTTCAGAAAGATATGGATAATATTATGCAACAAGCCGCCAAATCAAGAAACCTAATGCAAGAATCCGAACAAGCTCAGTTACTATTGTCATTACAAAGTGAAATTGAGAAGACAATAAAAGAAAATATCAGTAAAACAGAAAAAATATCAGAGTTAGAAAAAGAAATTGAAAAAATAAAAGGGATTGAAGTCTCTAATAAAACAAAAAATCATGACTATTTAAAATATTATGAAACTGAAGTTGATAGATTAAAAACTGAAAATGAGTTATTATTGAAAAATAAGGAACTCGAATGGGGGTAAGTGCATTGGGACATTGTCTTTAGCCCTTTTAAATATCTTAAACATATTAATTTTGATCTTATTTTTTTTTATAAATTAATTTCTTTTTTAATTAAATCAGAAGAGAAATGGAAAAACTTTTGACTGAATGTGACGAAATAAAGCAGCTTTATATGGAAATGAAAATGAATAAAGATAAAGTAGTTGAAAGTTCAAAGGAATTGAAAATTAAATTCGAAGAAGTACTCAAAGAAAAACAAGAACTTGAAGATCAATTATTAAAAAAGGAAGAAGACGTCAAACAGCTTCAAGATCATATTTTAAAACTTGTTGAAGGTAGTGAATCTAATTTAGTGAAACAGTGAACAATAAATATTATTTTTACATGCCATAATTACATCTACTTAATCTTTTTCAGAGAAGAAAATAGTAGAAGAAAAAATAAAGAGTGATTTTCAAAAAGAATACAGAACCATGTATGAAAAGGTAATTTATATATTAGTTTTCATAAATAAAATAGTTGTAGGTTATGATGAGATGAAGTTTCAGCCGAATGTTAATGATTCGATAAAAAGGGGTCTGTACCATGGGCTATAAGTGATGACCTCTGTTTTCTAGTTTATTCACTCATAATGTCAAAAGGTGGTTTTCATTCCAAAAGAAGCAATGATTATTATATTATCAGGAATGTCACTTTTAGGTTGAGGTCCTCCCATTTTGAAATGAAAAAATAATTTTATTCTGGGACTACTGTCCCCTAAAAATAATAACAGAGTTACAAATTTATGTATCTTAGTCTGACATAATAAAAATACCAACTAATTTATTGTTAATTGTTATTTCAATTGTGCAATGGATTGAAATTAAACATTGTATAGATGCAAGTAATTTTACATGTTAGGGGAAGTTTGAATGTGGAGTAGGTGTTGCAACAGGAGTTGTTTGAAGGAATTTGTGGATGGGGATTGACGCATGGAGGTAGGAAGTGAGTTCCATAAGGAAGCAGCACGAATGACGAAGGATTTGCTGAAGGAGGAAGTTTTATGGGAGGGGATATATAGAGGGAGGGAGTTCCAGGATGTAGGGAGGGTTTTTGGTTCTGAAGACTTAGAAAATAAAAACGCCAAGAAGGAATTGTCGTCGGGAAGTAGGATAAAGCCACTTCAACTCGGTGTACCATAGTGAAACATGTGAACGCCTGAGGATCCCGAAAATGTATCTTATGAAACAATTCATGAGTCTTTTTAGTCTCATTTCCAGCCTGGCAGATAGCCCTCCATACACCAAGCAGCCGTAGTCGAAGTGGGGGAATACAAGGGAGGTTACAAGGAGCTGTCTGGTTTTTATAGGAATACAATCACGGAATCTTAGGAGTTGTTTAAGGGCAGTTATGGATTTTCTGGTAATCTGGGAGATATGATTATCCCAGGAGAGGTTCTGGTCAAAGGTTACTCCTAGGTTTTTGACTGTAGGGGAAAAAATGGATGGGATGGTTATTGAGGTAAAGTAGAGGAAAGTAAGGAAGGGAGCTGATGAGATGTCTGGACCCGATGATAATAGCCTTGGTTTTATCTACATTCAGCTTTAATTCATTTATTTCTGCCCATCTGTTGATGAAGTCGATGTCCTCTTGTAGCCTCCGGGCATCTCAGAAGGTTGAAATGATTGGTATATTTGGAAATCATCGGCATATAGGTGGTAATTGGAGTGTTGAATGGCGTTAGGAAGGTCACTAATATAGATGGAGAAAAGGGTTGGGGAGAGTGAGGAACCCTGAGGAACACCTCGCGTTAATTGCAGTGATGATGATGGAGGTTTATTCGGTATTGTAACTGTCTGAAATTGATTGGATAAGAAGGATAGGAACCATTTTAGGACGCTATTTGACATGGGCAGGCTTTGGAGTTTGGAAAGAAGGATCTCATGATTAACAGAATCAAACGCCTTGGAAAAGTCAAAGAGAATTAGGATGGAGATTTTCTGTTTATCTGTGGTTGATTGGAGGTCTTGGGTAATACTTAGCAAGGCAGACTGGGTCTAATACTGGGAACAGAAACCAGATTGTAAGGGATTGAGGAGATGGTTTTGCTCGAGAAAGCTGTTCAACTGAAAGTGAACTAATCTTTCTAGAAGCTTGGATAGATTGGATTTTTATTTTTATATTTAGATTTATTTTTTTTTTTATTTTTTTTTTTTTTCCATTTAGCTATATTTTATTATTAATAAAATTCACTAATTATGTCTAATCCCTAGAGTGTTTATACTTTTTATTTCAGCAAAATGACGAAATAAAAGAATTAAAGTTAAAAATAATCAATGCTACCACTTCTGAGGAAGAATTGAAAAATTTAAAAAACGAAATTTTCGTGTCAAAGCAAAGATATTTGGAGTTGGAAGCAGCATTGAAAAGGAAATTCGAAGAAGAAATGCTGAAACTAAATGATGAAAATGTGATATTAAGAGACAACTTGAAGAAAAGGGTAACTTTTGATCATTTACTGACATATTTTAGGTAACAGTTTTTTTTTTTTTATATTAATAAAACGTTATTGCAGGAGGCTGAATTAACCATTCGGAAGATTTGCATGACTCAAAAGAAAGACATTGGCACTGTTACAGATGACTTGATGGTTTACGAAACAATTTATGAACAAAACCTTGTTGAGATAAAAAAGTTAGAGGATGAAATATACCATCTTAGAATTTCGGAAGAGGAGAAAAATAAGGAAATATTGGAACTGAAGGCTTCGTTTGAACGTATGTATTTTTAGATCACTTTTGTGAAGTATTTTTATTGTTACGAGACACGAAAATTCAGATTTTCTTTTTATTTAGTGCTTTAATAATGAGATAATATGAAAGTAATTGTTTTATACTGTTTATTATTAATTGAACAATAATGAACTCTTAACTGTAATTTATGCTGTTAGGGAACAATCATGGCCTCAGTTAAAATAGGAAGCAAACAGGGTATCTGGGTCATTAGTCATAGAAGCTGAAGAATAGACTTAATTTTAAAAAAATGCCGTTTGTGGTATTTTTGATGAATATGATGAAGTGAATCTTTCTTCATTTTTTTTCTTTCCCATTAAACATCCGGGTGTTCAGTGACTTTTAAATCTTATGGCCTTTCCGTAAAACTGCAGGTAATTTATCTATGGCGAAATTATGGCCGTTTTTGAATGATGCTTCATATAAAAACACGCAAATGGTCTGTAGAAGGGATGAAAAATATTCCGTTCTCAGGACACTCCACCTTTCCCGCACATTGTCACTAAAAGCTTAATGATTATATTTATGGTTCTAATTTTACTCCTTGGAACTTAAAACTCCTCTATTCAAACCATTTTCGCTTGGATTGAGAACATCTGAATATTGCTCGAATATACAAAAAAAAAAAAAAAAAAAAATGAGCAAAATGCTTTCACTATTGATGGACTCATTTTCCAATTAATGGACTTGTAATTTTTTTAAGCAATACTATTGCTATTGAAGTTGTGATCCATCACTTCTAGTTAATAAATAATATTGTTATCTTGATCACAGTTTTAATTAATTAATTATTATTATTATTGTTTTTATATGATAACTGTTTTATTAACATGACTCCAAAAACTGACCATTTCTCTAAGTTTATTATCTTTTAAAATTTTATGTTTTGTGACACTAGTATGATATAATGATTGTGTATTATTATAAGATTGACTAATTTGAATTATTTAATTTCAATAATTTTGATTTTACTTATTTAATTAATTTGGTAGGAAGATTAGATGAAGTACTTCTGGAACTAGAAAAGAATTTGGAATCCAAATATCAAAAGGAAATAGCATTAACCGAACATAGGGTAAAAGAGCTATCTCTAAAATATTTGTCTGAAGAAATCGACAAACTTCAGGTTGAGCATGTTAAAGATATTCAGTCTGTCAGAAATGAAGAACTAAAGAAAATACTTCATTTGAAAACTGTTATAACTGAAAAAGAAGGAGAGGTAGGATCTCATTATTTTTATATATTTTTAATTTTATTTATTACATTATGATTCATCTAGGATAAGTTAGTTGATGTTTTATGTTTTGTAACTGAATTATGTGGAACCATGGGTCAATTTTTTGTCCAGACCTGCAAAAGAATCAACACTGATTGCCTTCTACTAGAAAATGTCTTCCAAATGCCTAACTTTCGTCCCAGTTTAAACAGCTATTTATCTCACTTGTTATTAAGGCTTAGTTGTTATGCAGAAGGCATAATATATATATATATATATATATATATATATATGTTTTAGATATCAAGGAACAAATTTGGTTTTGTATCTGCAAATTGTAGTCAAATCCTTATGATGGGTTTATTACCTGTTACTGTTTATCCAATTTTCATGAAATTTTGAGAAAATCTATTTCTTAGTACCTAGATATAATATAAATTATTACCATATTCCATCCTTTACTTTCATTTATGCAATGTATGTATGTATTATTAAATGTATTTTAAATAATTGTTCATTAAATTTGGATAAAAGTGTGGTATTAGTGTAAAAATCCTGCTATATCCACTTTTTATTTGATGACGAAGTGTAGTGTAGTCATAATTTTCATAACATAATAATCATGACAGACATTTATAATATTTTTTTTTAAAGGAGGAACTTCTTCCTTTTTTTAAATTATTTTTTATTTTTTACATTCGATTTGTCGACGGTATAAAAATTGATATTACTACTACAGAAATAAGTCTATCCATCCTAAGGGGTGAATATACTTGTATATCTTCGTTCACATATTGATGGAGTAGCAGTAATGCTTATATATATGGCTGAGCTTCAGAAAACTGGAAAGCAGTAGCCCAAGATGGGCAGAAGTGGAGAAAGAAGGCTGGTTAAGCCGGCCAAATATCTAAAAGTCTTTTGCTGTCTTAACAAGTCTGCTCCGTTTCTGTCTGTCTTGGGTTATTTCTTTCCATTTATATACACGCAGCTCTATTGGATCTTTGTTGATTCTATCCATCCATCTGCTTTTGGTCTTCCATCTGTTCTTTTGACTTCTATTGGGGCATTTATTGTTACGTCGAGACTTCCAGATGGATTGCTACGAGCTACATGCCCCGCCCATCTTATTAACCACCGTGCCTTCATATCATTGGATATTGATTGAGTAGTTTCTGTAAGCAGTTCTTTATTGGTCTTTCTTCTCCATGTGTTAGTACTCCAATCCTAGATCGCTCAGGTTATCGTGCGGAGGATTTTTCTCTCAAATCTTTCAATACTTTTATCTGGGATGCTGGTTAGTGTCCAGGTCTCACAGTCGTGTAGTAGGACAGGCTTTATCATAGTATTGAACATCCTTAATTTGAGAATTCTTGAAATGTTTCAGAATTTCAATACCTTTGAGAGGGAGAAGAAAGCTCTGTTTGCGCTAGTTATATACTGCTCTATTTCCTACTATTGGTCATTCATTGAGGTTATTATGGAGCCGTGGTATTTGAATTTGTCTACTCTTGGGAATGATTTTCCCTCTATGCAGATCCTGTTATTGGGGTGAAATTTTCATTCTTTAATCAGAATTAAGATATATAACATAATATATCTTAATATTGAAACTTGGTATAATAGTTGAATGCTTTCCACTACTCTGTTCCTTAAAAGTTTTGTCTCATGCATCTGCACATGTTAATAATGTCAGATTTTTAGTTATTTCTTTTTAGTCCGATAAGTTTTCTACCAATTAATATCAAACTTTGCCCTAAAGCGACATACAGCAATACTACAGTATTGTAAGATATAGCAGTTGCCAACCACGTTTATGCTTATTATTTACAAAAAGAGCTAATGAAGGAGAAAAAATCACTTTCATTTCTCAAACGTAATGATCTATTTAAGTAGGATATGACAACTTTGATCTTTTAAAACAGTCAGGTTTCTAATAATAAAAAAATTGTGATGGAAAGATTCCACATTGTAATTTGAAAGTGTGAATTTTAAAGAAAAATAAAAAGTGGCTTCTTACACATGTAGTTTCCTATGAACACAACGTTAATAAACATGAAAATTCCACATTAAAAAAACTAAATTACAAAATCAAAGTTGTAAAATAAATAATAAAGCAAAATTATACATACTACTTCCAAAAAGTAATTTCTTTAATTATATAAATGATGAAATAAATGTTTTTTTTTTATTTTCCAGAGTGATCTCTTAAAATTTTACTTTAAAGTACTAACCTTAAAATTATTCACAATCCCTCGATACCTCAAAATATATTTGTTAATATATATTTATAATTATCTCTGTGTTTATTTTTATTAATTGAAATAAATTGTTTTTAATTTTTAGGTGAATGATTTACTTTTGAAGGTAGATGAATTGAAAAAATTAATTATTACATATGAAGAAGAAAAAGACCAAGCTGCTCGTATGATGATGCAGTGGGTCAAAGAGGTATTTAATTGATACTTTGTTCATATTATAAATATTTTAATTATTTTAATTTGTTATCTTGTAGCAGCTAACTTCTGATAGGATTACTTGTGCCTCACTGTTAATTGCTCATACTTATTATTGTTCATTAAAGTCACTTACTAATTATAATACTTTTATTTATTAAAGTGACTATTTAAATGCTTGAGTTATCAATCTGGCCTCAGATTATAAGTACCCTGGTCGGGTCATAGTCACATAATGTAAGAACTTATTTATCTTTTGAAGTTGGGACCTACAATTTGTATATAAAGCTAGAGATGTCCAGAAAGTTACTTATATCTTGCAATAAAAGATAAATCAAGTTACAAGAAATGAAGTATTATATTCATTTATTGTCTTAAACTATTTTTTAAAATAATCGCCAAATAAATTGAGACATTTAGTATACTAATGCAATCCCTGCTTCATACCACCTCGGTTCTGCTTCCATATCAAAATTTTACTCTGTTGCAACTTCATCACAAGAAACAATTGGTCATTGCTGATTTTTTATTCAGATTTTATGGTGGGTGATGAAAGATCCCCATTCTAAAATCATCTAAAAGATCTCTCATACAATCATATGTGGGCAAGTGCTTTGAAAAAATAAAATTTTTGACCTAATCTTTTGCCGATGCTTGTATTGTATCACCTTTGTTTTGTTTTTTTTAATATTTAACTATACCTGTCTGAGATTATCCGTGAGCAACGTTTAATGAAATCAATTCAGAAGCCATCCCTAAGTATCTCAAAAAACAGTTGCCGCGATATTTCTGGCTGACAAAACTTCTTAATATATCTTTGAATTCATGGAACCATTATTCGTTCTGTAGACTGTGTTTCTGTCTCAAAATTGACTTTCTTTAATATCTCATCATCAGTTACGACAGAATCAAGTATTCAGTCATCTTTGTCATAGACTTCGAGTAATGTCTGTAATTCAGCTAAATTCTGTTAAATGGTATTCTAGAAATCATTTCTTATAATAAACTTCGTGACATCTGACAAAGTAGAGATAACTGTAAAACGGCAATTTTTTGTATATATTTTATATAGCCAATCATTGCGGTCCTCAATCTAAAAATTTGCCTTGCCATTTTTACCATAATAGAGCACGGTATCGCTCCATCTTCATTTATTCCATTTTAGGTATGTCTGCCAAAGTTACTGATGAATTTCTATTGTTTTATTATTATTTTGTTTCCCTCTTTAAAATACATCAATTGCAAGACATATTTTAAAGAGGTGTATAGTGGAAAAATTAGAAGCAATGGTGGTAATTGCTCTGCGTCCTACCATTACCGTATCTAGTCATATTTTCTAGGAAGAGCCTAGAGTGATCTGTCATATCCTTCCTATATTAGTTATCATTTAAGTGTTAAAGTTTAAAATACTTGGTGCTACACTTGTGCCGCTGCTTGCCAGTTGCAGAAGTTGAGTAGGTTGAGGGCATCCCTTGCAACAGTGTTCTCCCATCCAGCAGTTTTCCGGCATTTCTTCTTCTGGGATGCATACAACGTGGCCAGCCCACTGCATTTTTACCAACCTAATAAACTTTATTATGTCAGTCTCGCCATAAAGTTGGTAAATTTCCTTATTTGTCCTCCGTCATCAGTCCTCTCCAATCCTTACCGGTCCAAATATTTGTTGTAGAATTTTTCTTTTGAATATAATTTCCCTCTCATCACTTGTGAGGAACCAGGTCTCTGATTCATATGTTAGGACAGGCCTTATAAGAGGCACTTAATGCGGCGGGAGAGGTAAGAACTTCTCAGGTGATTTCTGAGACCAAAATTGTATATAACTGTTGGGTTTGATGAGTCACTGACTGGTTTCTATAGAGATCCTGTTTCCAAAATTCACCAATGACCTCAGAAAATTTAATACCAATTATTATTATTATTATTATTTTGTTATCTAACTGGTAAAACAGTTTTAAGTTCCTGTTTAATGTATTTCTTTTACTTCTTAATATTTATTTTACAAAAATGTTCTGGGTTAGAGTCTATTCTAGAATTCCTTTGATAGGAGATCCAATGTATCTATGTCCATTGCCCTATTAGGTCAATTACATCAGCTATTTTCCGGACAGCTATTATATATTCTATTCCATCTTCTCACCGGCCCCATACTCCAAACTTTTTGTCCCGTAGGCCACATTGATACCTCCTTGTAAGTTCCACGGGCCATATTGATACCTTCTTATAAGTCCATGGCTTACAATGAAAAAAAAAATCTTGTTTTATAAATGACACTTTTGCTGTGAAATGAGCTTTCTAAGATAAAAAAAACTCATGTAATAAGTGTTCTGGGTACCTCTTGTTTGTATGATTTACTAAATATCATATTTTTTAAACAGTTTTTAAAATTTTACCTTGTAATCACAGAAACTTTCGTGGGCCAGACTGGAGGCACTTTCGGGCCTGATTTACAGCAATTCTAACATAATTAAAATTAATATTCCTACTTCCAAATTTAATCAACTTCCAAAAATGCTAATGAGTCTCCTCTCACCTTTTACAAAAGTTGGAGTTTGTGGACTTATTTTACTTCCTTAATCCTTCTAATTGGACAACTAAGACCTTGAGTACAAATTTTATCAAACACGACTTAGCTCCATGTATAGATTATTTGTATTACACTTTTTTTTTTTTTAAGTTTCAAAGTATTATTTATCAAAGTCCTCCTTTACATATTCTTTATTAATAACACTAACAATATTTTATATCACCAGAAGGAATACTTATCCATTATTTAATTTGAATTATTGTTATCGACTTGCACTTGTTTGCCAGCTCAAGAGATATACTGAATAAATGCCGAACGAGTTTCATGGGTTCCTTAATAAGCAGATATATTTGACAGCTAAGTTGGACTTCACACAAAAGTCTGAATCAGCAACTTAAATGAATTATTTGCCATAAAAATGCGTTGCTTTCGATAAATCTTTTATTATTCGATCCTCATCCTTATGGAACTCCATCCCTCCCGAAATCTGTCGTTCCAATACTCTCCTTATTTTTAAATCCCGCCTATTCAACACTTTCTTTCCATCCATTCCCTTATAAATTGTAATAGAAACTTCTGTAAATATGTTATTAATTTATTTTCATCTCATTGTTCTTTCATTTATTTATTTTTTTCTTAATTGATTTAATCTAGAAGATAACTTTTTTTTTCTTTTTTCTCTATTATATCTATTAGCTAACTTTCTAAATACATGTATATATATCTCTGGTTCAAAAGTCCACATTACTGTCCTTGTTAATTATTCTAAAGTGATTCGTCCCAGAATAAATAAAAGATTATTATTATTATTAAAAAGATTTAGAACTCATTAAAGGGGCAACAACCAAGTTAAATAGTTAATAGTTAAAAACTTGACTTCTTTTTAGCATGTTTAATTGTGATATTGTAAATAGTTATATACTTTATCATTATTATTTTTTTAAATACTTACTGTTATAATATATGATTTTTTACTTTTGTCAGGTGGAGACCTTGAAATATGATAAAGAACAGATTCTAAAAGAAAAAGAAAGCATGAAGACGTGCAATCAGGAATTAATTAAAGCATTTGAAGAAACAAAAACAAAACTCAAAAATACTAGAAAGGCTGCTCTTGTTTATAAACGTCGACTAAACGAAATCAAAACAGGATTATCTGAAAAATATAAGAATTTATTGATCGATATTCAGCAAAAAGTGGATGATGCTGTTGCAGAAAAAGAACAAGAGATAGAAATCAAATTGAATGAAATAGAAAAGGAGTATAAAAATAAAGAAAAGCTTTTAAGGCACGAGTACGATATGAACTTGGTTAGTTGACTCAGCATTACTAAATGTCTATCCTTATAAAATTGTATTATCTGTAAATAATGTAACATCAAGTTGTACAAATGTTGTTTTTATAGATTGTGAGTGTAAGTAGTTTATTTTTTTAAATTAAATTATTTAGTGTTGTATAGCTTTCTGTAAATTTAAATCAGTACAAATGTTATATTATTTTTTTTAAATAGTTTATATTGTAAGAATCGATTTATTTAAATTTTATTACAGATTATCTTTAAATATCATCATAATATTTGTTTGTTGTTTTAAATATATAAATTATTAACGAGATATGTTTCTGTATAACTTTTTTTGTAAATATACTATTTTCTACATTTACATTAAGAGGAAAAAAATGTAACCATCCTTTGTTATTTGTTATTTCTTTGTTGTTTGCCAATAAAAATTACCACAATATTTTATAATTATTTGCATATATTATATAAAACAAACTAGAATTTGATACATTTATAAAATTGTTAATTAAGATTAAAGGTAGAAATAACTGAATGATGGGTAAGGCTGTGAAAGTAAAGCTTATCATCATGACCTGCAGGCATCATATAAAACAACAGAATTATATGAATTTATATATTTTTTGTTAACTTTATTTTTTATATCTACACCTGTCACTTCCTTTATTACAGTAAGCTGGTGTGAACTACACTAAATATGATGTAGTTATCTTTATATAATATAATATATCTCTTTTCCGGCTCAATAATGAATGAGGTGTCAAAAAAAAAGTAAATTTTATGGAGAATTGATCAATTACCATTTCAATTCTTTACTTTGTAGTATAACTAATAAAATTCATTTTTAAAATTAGGAGGTTTCAAAATTCCATCATTAAAATGTCGACAATTAAGATTGTATAAATTATGTTTGTAAAGATTTTGATGCTAATCTCAAGATCTGGTAAAGTTACTTTGGAAACTATTTTGCAAAATTCTGTTGATTTAAGACTTCAATTTTAAATTTCTGGAACGTGTTTTGATGACAGTTTATCATTTTCAAGATAAACCATAATTTTTGCTAAAAGCTGATGAATATTATATATGGAATATATATATATATGACCCCATATCGCCCTCATCTCCTGTAAGTCAATAGGTACCCTTAAGCCATTTCATCGCTCCGCCACCTACTCCCACAACCCATCCGCAAGCTCCTTGTATAGTCTCTCATTTTCCCCCACTTTGACTACGGCTGTGTGGTGTACGGAGGCATCCCGATGGTACTCGAGGATAGATTGAAGCGACTCATGAATACATGCTTAAGATTTGTTTTCGGATTCATCAAGGCGATCTCATGTGTCCCACCTTTACGACGAGTTAAAGTGGCTCTTCCCTTCTTTTCGTAGACAATATTTCCTCGGATCTTTCCTATTCCAAACAATCAACACCAGACACCCTTCTTACATCTACAGTCTCCTACAGTTTAAACCCGTGGCCCACTCCCAGAAAACAAGATCCCATGTTTCCGACCTTTATATCCCTTCCCATAGAACTAAGACGTTTGAATATTCCTTTATTTCCCGATCCACAGCCTTCTGGAATTCCTTGCCATCTGAAATCCGCCATGCCTCTTCCTTGTCCTCATTTAAATATCATCTCTACCAATTCCTTCTCACATCCCAAAATGACGTTATACAATAAAATAAATATTGTGAAACAGATTTTGACTGAGGTGAATGGTTGATGAAATTTATTGAGTCTTAATTTTAAAAATCAACTCATGCTTATTTTATTCTTATTTTCATTTCAATAATTTTTTTTATTTCGTTTTTTCTCAAAATTTTATTTTATTTTTACTTGTTTTAATTTAATTTCACTGAAGATACTGTAATATTGATTAATGTAATTTTTGGCCAGTTGTAGTTTTTATTTTTTTGTTCATATCTGTTGTTCATAAGGGACCTTGTCCCAGAATAAAGTTTACTTTCTATCTATATATGTTTTAAGTTTTTTAAAAATTTAACTATTCCTATGTACATAGTTTTTGAGAAACTTAATATCTGGACTTTCCCACTCCAATTTGAATAAGTTTGGTTGTACCTCTAGAACCATAGGTGGATATATGGGGAAGGGAGCATCCCAGCTGAAGCCCCCCTCCAAATGTTAAAGTATAACTATGTTTTATGAAAAAATATTGTTCATCTGATTACATTTAATTGGACCTCAAGAATCAATTAATCAGCATTTCATATAGTTTGTTAATTTCTTCCAAAATAATTATAATATATATATTGCTCTTTCTCATTAAAAGTGTATTTAAATAATTGAAACCTTAAAAAAAAAAAGGATATGTTCCTTCCAGTACGTCTTTTTCTCCCATTTTTTTTTTTTCTCCCATGTGGGTTTCTCATTTTATATTTTAATATTTCTTCCCTGCTGTTGGGCATGCAGTTATAAGTATCAACTTATTGATCTACTAATTAGCTATTACTTATTATATTAGTTATTACTCTAAAATAGTCGATTTACCAAGGGTGCATCCAGCTCAACACAGAATAGATTGTGATATTATCTAAATTTAATTTAATAATAAATATATATATAAACTTTTGCGCTGAAGCCTCCCTTCAAAAAAATAATTAAATCCTGGATCCTTTAGTATCTTTAACAACAACCACATTTGGCAGATAGGAGTTAAATGAAAATGTTAGCCAACCCATAAAAAAATTAAATCCTGCATCTGATACTAGTCTTAGATGAAAATTTTGTAGCTAACCTTTTTTTAATTAATTTATTTTTTCATGATTTGAATGTGAATCATTTATCTGATATTTCTTTATGACTTGAAATTGGTAAAAATCCATTGCTAAATTAAATCGGAAATCGATTTCCGCCAATTACTAAGCCAAAGAGCTATCATATTAGAGGTTTCACTTAAACTGGAAAAAAAAGAAAAACTTCTAACTAAATACGTTACTTCCTCACGCTTTTATTGGGTACATAATGAATACATCATCTGCATGAACACTTCTATAAGACTATAATTTCATTTAAATCTGAATAATCCAATAAAAATAGTCTAATCACTCGCTTTAAGTAAAAACGGTATTTAACCTACTGTCATGTATTTAATGCTGATATCATTTCACAGCCATTATATTCTTAAAAATTACTTTAATTTTAATTGATAAATGGAGATTGATACATATCCATTTGTACATTATTTCCTCCAGCCAAATCTAGGGTGAGCCATTTTTTTTTTTTTAATCAAGGCGTGTCAAAGAAAATACATTTATGCATCCATAAGCGAAAATAGTGTATGAAGTTTGTTAAATACAGAATGATTTTTTTACTAATCCCTAACTTTACTTTATTTTATTTATTCATTTTATTTATAGGCGTATTATAATACGATTCAACGGAAGAAGTGAATGGAAATTGATATGGAACCAACCCACGGGGGAGGGTGAGGGAGGAGGGGGCACTTTTGGGCTGAAGCCCCCTCCCTCACCCAAAAAAAAATGGTAAAATGTAACCGTCTTATTAAAAAGTTATCTCTAAAAGTATTGTTCATGTAATCACATTTAATTTAACTTGAAGAAGCATTTAAACGACATACAGGTAGTTAAATTTCTTTTTAAGTAATTATCGTTTTATGTATAAATAAAAACATTCGGGCTGAAGCTCCTCCCTCGAAATTAGATCATGGATCAGCTACCTACATGAGTGATCCAACCTACATGTATAAATTTAAATCTACATATCACGAGAACGTTTCATAAAAATCAAGTGTATATCACTGTAGGAGATGATATACCTTGTAGCAGGCAGGGATTTGGCTGGCGCATCATTTCACATTTTTCTTGACGATGTATTCAACATATATGAATTTGTGAGTTTAAAATTGACACTAAATAATGTTTAATGTGTAAAATATTTGAGACAAGGGTGTAGCCAACTCAAAACGGAAGAAAAGTCCAATTTTTCAAATTTAATATCTTTCATGTAGAAGGTGTCCTTCATCTGTCAATCAATCTCTTAAAAATTAGTTGTTTTTTTCTACATTGGAAGGGTGAGGAGAGCAGCTGTTCCACCTTGCTTCTGGATACGCCCGGTGGTTGGGAGACTGAAATGGAGGGAAGGGCGACTGAACCCATCTTCTCAGAGTGTTAGCTATAGGATTCCAGGGCCTAGTCCCAGAAAGTATGCAATGGCAACCCTGAAGATCGTGATGGCCGAACGTGTTAAAGCTTAAACTTTAACATTCTCGAGTCTAGTGCGCCGGTTCGAAACCAGCTTGGGCGGGTTGAAATTTTTTTCGTGGTGGACCCAAAGGAATGACTCTCGACCTTTCTACGCAAGTTAGAATAGGTTTTGTTGTTTCTCTAGAACACCCTCGTACCTGTAAGCCAGAAATGATGAGGTAGGGGGCACTAGCGGATCCAGGATTTAATTTTGGGGGGGGCTTCAGCCCGAAACCTTTTTTTTCATAAAAATAACGATAATTACTTTGGAAAAACAGAAAGAAACTAACTACCTATATGAAATGGTGTTTAAGTTATTCCTTAAGTACTTTTAAATGTAATTACACGAACAACAATGCCTTAAGAGGTATTTTTAAAAAATTTTTTCCCATAAAACATGGTTATATTTTTCCATTTTGGAGGGGCTTCAGCCCGAAAGCCCCCCCCCCGTAGATCCGCCCGTGGTAGGGGGTAATCGTAAAAAAAAAAACGCACTAACTTTTAGGCCAGTTCCGGAACCATCAAGATAAGATTGTATTAATGCTGACCAAAGACAGCACCAGTCTTCCATCAACAGTTTAAATATAACGAATACTGATAATAAATCATTTCAAGTTATCTGATCTTATCTCTTTCGGTCGCCGACGGTTCCTTACTTTTGACTTAACAGTACATATTTTTAAACTAAAACAGATTAGTTTCAATAAATCGTCATGTAAGTTCTAACACCGCCTGACTTAATTCTCTCACCTTCACAAGAGGTATAAATGCCTAATTTCGTTTCTTATGTGTACCATATTTCATAGATAAAAAGCTTCTTTAAAATAGACTTTTATCATTACTAGGCCTCTTGGATTAGGAAGAGGTGAGAGAGGGAAAAGGCAGCCTTTAGTGGGTGATAAATCTCGAACGAGGTTGCATTTTTATTTTAAAATATTTATTTATGCTTTTTGTTTGTTTTGCTTTAATTAATTCCATGAAGTGATTTTATGTTATGATTTATTTTGAAATATATTATCTAATTTGTGTCATAAAACTGTTGTTTTTTATTGGGGAGGAGGCGTGTAGAAAGAGGTAACAAGATTAAGCTTGTCCCCCCTGGAATAAAATCTAGTTTCGAATCAGTATCATCATGACAGAATATATATTTTTTTTCAGTAAATTTTTTAATAATAGAATTTTTTTTTTTAATTCGAAATAGATTACATAGCTTTGGACGTTCGGCGTCCCTAGGCTGTGACATTAGCTCCCCTAAAAAATTAAACTTATTTCTTAAGCAGTTTTACATTATGTAATATTGGCTAAAATTAATTATTTTAATACGTTTTGTATTATTTTTTCGGGCTAAAGCTCCCCCCCCCCTTCTCCCAAAATGGTAAAATATAATCATGTTTTTTACAGAAAAAAATATTTAAAACTATCTCTTAAAGTATTTTTGTTCGTTTAATTACGTTTAATAGGACTTCAAGAACCACTTAAACACCATTTCATATAGGTAGTTAATTTCTTTCTTTTTTTTCAAATTAATTATCGTTATATGTATATAAAAAAAAATCTTTCGGGATGAAGCTCCTCCCCTCCCCCAAAAAAATAATTAAATCCTGGATCCGCTAATGGCGAGAGAGGCATTGTGTGATCATTGCAAAATGAGAAAATTTAAAATAGAATATCATTCGCAACTAATTCTCATAAACTATTGTAAAAAATAAATAAATAAATATAGATTGAGTATTTTTATTGATTTTATGAACTCTTACATGGTACCTTGGATACACGTCCTCTCTACATGGATGAAATTAAATTTAGATAATATCACAACCTATTCTGTGTTGAGCTGGATACGCCCTTGGTAAATCGCCTATTTTAGGAAAATGACTAATATAATAAGTAACAGCTAATTAGTAGATCAATAAGTTGATACTTATTACTGCTTGCCCAACAGCAGGGAAGACATATTAAAATAAAAAACGAGAAACCCACAAATGCCAGAAAAAGACTTTCTGGGAGCATCTGGAAAGAACATATCCTTTTTTTTTTTAAGGTTTGAATTTTTTAAATACACTTTTAATGAGAACGAACAACAGATAAAAAAAAAACAATAATGAAAAAAGTTCTAAATTATGCAGTATATATTTTATATATGTCCATTATAATGGCCATAGTAAATATTTATTTTTCATAACAATCAAAGGTCTTATTATTATTTTTTTATTAAGATATATGTATCTGCAATTGATTTTATAAATACATAAGGTGGTTGACATATATAAATATATATATCACGGGCGGATCTACGGTGGGGGAGGAGGGCTTTAGGGCTGAAGCCTCCCCAAAAATGGTAAAATGTAACCATGTTTTATGGAAAAAAATATTAAAAATTTATCTCTTAAAGTATTATCATTCGTGTAATTACATTTAAAAGGACTTTATTAGGATTTAAACACCATTTCATAAAGCTAGTTAGTTTCTTAAGCTTTCGGACTGAAGCCCCCCCCAAAATTAAATCCTGGATCCGCTATATATACATATATATATATATATATATATATATATATATATATATATATATATATATATATATATATATATATATATATATATATATATTCAGCTCAAATTGATAATCTAGAAACGAGAAAAACAAATGTTTGATTTTTTTTTTTCGACTGTCAAGAGCATGGTTTTTATTTTAGGCACTAGTAGCAGATAATATAAGGGTAGCTCTAACTCCCCTTTTGTTTCTGGAAATGCCCAGTTTTATATAAAACTTGATTATATAACCACCATAGACCTCACAGTCAATACAATGCGGCGTCTTATTAATTTACTGTATAAAATAAGTGTTTTTTAATGGAATCAAGTGAAGTTGAAATGAAAAAAAAAAGTATTTTTTAAATGCTCATTAGACTTTTTAATTTGCCATTACAGTAAAAATTAAGAGTTATTGTTTAAGTATTGGGAATGGAGTTGCCCAGAAGGGGGTTTTATGGCGCAAGTTACGCTATCAAACTTTTTGAGGGCAGCAAATTTTGAATTTCGGAGGGAAGCCCATTTCAACGGGGTTATGAATTTTCGAAATGAAAAGTTTCAGGATAAGGGAATATAAAAGAACATAGAAAAAAATACTGTAGCAAATTTAATTGTATATGATCTATGATATTTCGAATTCTACTTTTCCTCGCTCTGTTTTTATGAAGAGTTGAGCAATACAATATCTTGGGAGGGGGAAGGGGTAGGTTCTTGCGTCATCGATCTTGGGTGGATGAGCATCCCTGATTTGGAAATAGGAATTTATCGGAGGAAGAATAGGATGCTAATATTTAAACCATTTACGAAAAAAAAAGAAAAAATAATCTAAATAGGTCTTACCACAACAAATTCAAGATATCTATATGAGAAAAAATATATTGCGCACTATGGTTCAAATTATGGTAGCAGGGATCATAAATATCAGTGTTGTTTTGTTGGCCATTTATTTTATAGATTTTATTATAGATTTTATAGTTTCTATATTTTCAATTTAAAAATCAAGAGTAAAAACCTTATCTAATATTGAATAATAATGTCGATTGTCTGATATCATAATGGTTTATAATAAATATAATTGACTATTTTTAATTATTTTTATAGTGTTGCTTTTTATGCTTTCCTTAATTTTTATCAAGTGTGTTAAACAATGCTTCACTCAAAGGTTTAAATAAGCCGACACCCGTACAAGATAAGGTGTCATGATTATAGATATGAAACAAACTTCAAAATAAATACGTTTTGTTATGTTTGATTTATAAACTTGTTTTGATCTAGGAATGTTCATTTAGCTTCTGGAACAAAATTAATTTCTTTTAGTTATTCGGCTTATGAAGTTACTAAGATTTTTGTTTTGTTTAGTAAGAGTTCAGAGGATATACGTCATGGAAATATGATATATTAAATTTTAAAATAAAATTTATTTTAAAAATATTAACGACTTTTGACTTCAAATGATCATATTGAACGATAAGATGAATGGATATTTAAAAAATATAATTTTTTTTTTTAGTAAATTAGAAGTTTTCAAAAACCATAAATTATTAATATAATAATAATTATACAAAAATCTAATAGTTGAAATTGAGAGAAAAATGACACAAATGTATTTTAAAACTACAATATTTTTTTGTTATTAGTGGTAATTTTACCTCCTTGTATTAATTTAATTAATTGTATTATTAGACTTTAATTAAAGAACAACAGTTTATTAAAGAGATAAAGCTTAGAATATGGAAGGATGTATATGTTTTATTTACTCGATTTTTTTTTCATAATGTATGAATGAATGAGAAATGCTTTATTAAATATGTATTCATTATAAATTTCCAAAATACAAAGAACATTTATACGGCATGATTAATCATAATTTATATGTATATATACATTTGCGCGATTATTTAACTGAACATTAGAAACTATAAACACGATGAAACGATTTTTTTTTTAAATATTTTTATCATTGTGTTTTTTTCAGGAGTCCTCAAAAACTATACCGCCGGACCCCATTGTTCCTCCCCCTCCCTCCCCCATCTAATCATTCACCCTTTTTTCTATCCAAAACAAACCACAATCTCCTTTTTTTTTGTTCAATAACAGGCCTTAAAAGTTTAATTCTTTCCTTAAGGAACCCTATTAAATTCGCAATGTTATTCAATTTTTTCTTTTAAATATTGGTTTTGATATTACAATCGGAATAGAAAACACAGTTTTTCGCGTTTTCTGAACAATGTTAGTCATGATTTGAGTTCACTTTAGAAATAAATAACTAATATACAAGTTTAATTATTATTAGATTAGTATGATTTTATTTGTTGTCTTAAATAAATCCATCTTTAATTTTTTTAGTCTAATTAACTAATAAACGTTTTTTGAATAATACTAATTTATTATTATCGTTTTTATTTAAATTTATTCATAATTTTAAAATGAATTTAAAATATGAATGATCAATCAGGTTCAATAGAATGTTATAAATTATATTTTATCGTAAATGGTTTGGCAGTTAACAGCTAAGAACAAGTTTATAAAGCTACATTATTTGTCTTCACCGTCTTATTTTATATGTTTATTTTTTATAAATATTTCTAGACAAACGATAGTTTTTATTTTATTAAATTTATCTGTTTAAAGAAATGTTCTTGAGACGATTTTTCGTACTTTATTAAGATGTTCTATATGGGTTTAGGTTGTGTGTTTTAAAGTATGAGAAACCATTGAAAAATGTAGGTATTGGTTTTTAAAATTAATTTTCGTGGGGTGAAAATGTCTGCTAAGAAGAGAAACCGGTTGCTCTGTCGGTTAAATACGATTTCGGTTGATTATAGATTTATTCCGAGGTGTATTGTTATAAGTCGATAAGTAGTTGAGAGAAGTGCGGCAGGAGGCGCTAGTGTGAGTGGAGGCTGTGTTCCCGCGCCGAGATCCGTGGCGTTGTCTGCTTGTTCTCCTCCGCCATTGCGGTGTCTCGCTCCTCGCCTCGTTCCTCATTCTGTGCTAGCTCGGTACGCCGTTACAGTGCTTGGTGCATCTTCTATTGCTCGTAGTATATTAGAGAGTCATGGAAAAAAGGATAGAGCTTGAGAAAAGGGGTAGAACACCTGACCAGGTAAGCTAAACGATTATTAATGCCGTTATTCCGTTTTTTCCCACTTATTTACTAGAAATGTATATCGGGTAGGGAAGCCTTCGGGACATTTATTACATTTTACCTCGAAATGATTACTCCTTTTAGCTTAGTTATTGTTTATAATTTGTATCAATGGATATTATACAATCCGCTTGACGGTATTTACAATTTTTTTATGAATTTTATTAACCTAAACATGCTTTTTATGACGACTTTGTTTACGCCGAAAAACTGCAATTTTAATTCCGCATTTTATTTATACACGTAAACTGTTTTAGGATTTATATAAATATGTAAAACCGCTACCAATTATGTAATTATTAAATTGATTTGTGTCGATTGAAACGCGATCGTAGTTGTATTTACCATATGCATGTTTTCCGTTCTCGATTTATAACTTTATCCATGTCTAAAAAACAGATATGTATACATCATTTAAGTAAATTAATTCATACAGTGCCTCATTATGTATTTATTTCTGTTTTCCTGGTTATGTTCGGCATATCAGGGTTTGTTTTAATCGGGTTCGTTTATGATAACTAGTTATTTCTATAATATTTTTACTGAACGTTTCTGTAAAGACTGTGTATCATTTTTCGTATACTTTTTGTCATTTTACCACTCGAAATATCTGTTGATTTATTTTTGTTGTGTTTTCCCCCCATAGTGGTTGGATTTGTTTTCATCTAAACAAGTTGCGTGGCAGGCACCTTAGTGGCCGCTTGGCTGTTGAGTGCCGTTTAGTCCCATGGCCTTTATCAGGATGCGGCCTTTGCGCCAAATATTCGTCTAATTTTTTCATTAAAATTTTACAAATTTTTTAATTTCCGCATTTTTAATTACGTTTTCGCTGGTTTTGAGATGAATACCGGCAGCCATGTTTGGTCGATTGCTATGCGCACATGTCGCCTGCATTTCTTAATTGTAGATTCAAACAACACTGATGATGTTTGAAGTTTTTTAACTACTCTTAAATATATTTTTATAAATCATTAACCTTATAATTTTCTAATAATAATTTAATTATTTTGTGAAACTGTTATTGGAAATGACATTTTAAGAATTTGATTTCATCAAATGATTGCACCTTAAATTGGTGCATTTTTCTTTACTAATTTACATCATGAATTAGTTTATTTTAATTTTTTTAATATTAAGTAGGTTACTTTGACAGCCATTTTTAATTTTTTTTCTTTTTTATATATTGCTTTATAGAAAGAAATTTATTATTTTCTAATGGTTTTTTAAACTAATAGCATATATTTTCATTGTTAGTTTATTACAATGTACATTTTTTATTTTTTCATTTTTATTTATATTTCAGATTCATGAATTGAATTTAGACAATTGTCGAAGTACAAGTATTGAGGGATTGACAGATGAATTCACAAATTTGAGATCCCTCAGCCTCATCAATGTGGGGTTGACTAGCCTAAAAGGATTTCCAAAATTACCAAACCTCCAAAAGGTAGATAATTTTTTTTCCAATTCAGTACATATATATTTTGGATAACTTTTAAATAATATTATTTTTGTACACTTTTAAGTTCCTTCAGTTATATTTGTAAATAGTGAAATATTGCCCAGTGTCACATTCTATCCTGATCGCTTGGAAATAATGTATTCTAAGCTTGGTTAGATTGTGTAGATTAATTGTTTTGTCAGACACCATTTTATTCTTTGTGGATATTCTGGTCAGTTTAAAAACAACACTTATTTAACAGTTGATCACAAAAACAAGCTTTTGAGGCCTGTCACCCACTGGGACAGCCACAGGTGGTTTTTGTGTTTATACTGAGTTCATTACAGTGGTTTTTCTTTCAATTTTTAGCCATTCCACATCCTTAACTTGTTATTCTGTTATTTTATTTTTTTCAAATTAGTAGATATAATTTATTCTCCTAGAGTTTCTTAAGCAAAAATATGAAGCTATATTATGACCTTATAAAAAATTTATGTTATTGACTTGACTTTTAAAATAAAAATTAATTTATATATTGAGCTTAACATATTAATTAAGGACCATAGAGCTGTAATTTTTTCAAGATTGTTTTTATTATCTATAAGATGGTTTTAATTATGTATTCATTTATTACGATTCTAAAAACAATGATTTAGCTTTTATAATCATATTTTCAAATTAAATGTATGTAATATAGCCCAAAACACAATTTTTTTATTACTCACTTGTAATTAATTTAATGTTTCTTAACTTGATATAAGTCAATAATCTAATATACAAAATAATTACATAATGTAATTGAAATCATAATTTACTTCATTTGAATATATGTAAATAAAGTTATTAAATTAAAATGATTAAATAATTAAAGTATAATAAAATAATTACATGTTGCCTATGTTTACTTATTTCATCTATTAAATAATAAGTGACTTGGTATTTATGTATTATTCCTGATTTACTACGGTTCCTGTATCAATGATTTAATTGTTTGTTCTTGTGCTGTATAATATTATTATGTGTAGAATAAGTTTTATTATTTTTTAATTATTATATAAATAAAAACTGATCGTATGAAAACTAGTCAGATTTCGTAATGTTTAATTTGTTATTTTAAAAAAAGTTAAATGTTATTGAATTTTTTCTCTCCTGCAATAATAAATCTAATTGCTAAGTTACACACAAAAGGCTTATTGTTCAGATATTAAAAATTTGATTAATTTTCCAACTTCACAATTAAAACATTGTGTACTTAATGCCAATCTTTTTGAAACTTAACATTTTTTTCATGGATGAAGTTGATTAAATTTATTGCTTTTCACACTAAACTGGCGATATACTCATGGTTTGTTTATTCTAATATTTAGCTCTTAGGCGTGAATTTTTTTTTTCAATAATTTATGAAAGAGTGGACTAATTTATCTTTTCTAGTCATACTTTATTGAGGTTTTGTTAAAAGAGCTTCAGCTATTTGCAATGGAAAAATACTTAATATTCTTAAAATTAAATAAAATCCTCTACTCCTTTTGTAAGTAGTTTCGTAAAGGCTTAAAGCTTAATTATATAAATTGTTGATGCATATTTGTCTGAGACAATCCATTTGTACCTCTAAAAAAAAACCAGAATGTTTTGGTCAAGCCGATATACTATTTATATTAGTAAAAATAATTACTTATTACTTTTGAAAAGTTATGTAATTTTTTTTTCCGAAATTTATAACATAGTTTTTAATTTGTGTTTTAGCTTGAACTTAGTGACAACAGAATATCAAATGGTCTAAATCTCCTTCATACCAGCCCCAATTTAACAAATTTAAATCTTAGTGGAAACAAAATTAAAGATCTGGAGACATTGGAACCTCTGGTATGTTATTGAATATAATTTTATTAATATTAAATATTTATTTGTAAGTTTTTTTAGCTGTCACATTTTTCTGTATTAATAATAGTCTTCAACGAAGTAATTTCATAGGATCTTTAACATTGGAACTTGTTACTCCCATGAAGTTATTTACAATGTTATCATAACGTTATATTAATATTTTGTATTTTAAAAACTACATGGTGATATTGTTCTAAATTAAAATGAACCCTCCCCCCTCTCCATTTACATTATGGTAGGGACCGATTGTTTTTTATAATTAAAATCATATTCCATCCAAACATTTTTTTGCTATTTAATATGGAAGATAAAGGAGTTAAATTGGATTTAAACAGCATAGTTTTTGTTTTTACAGTAACAAGAAATATAATTGTAATCGTGATTGTCGCCACTTCTTCAATAATCCCATGTTTATTAATTATTCTTTCTTTGATAGGTGCCATAACAAATTTTGAGATTTAGTGACTAAATTGAGGATAGTTTTTTTTTTCCTTCTGGTGTGGGAGATTAATGCCGAAGTTATGGCTGTTCCATAATTTGCTCTGTTAATCTGATACCAAACCTATAGTTTTATGTTAAAAAGAAGTTCTCAGAAGTAAAGTTTAGTTTTTGACACTACTATTAAGTTAAAATGATTTTCATTTAATTTGCTCAAATTAGATAAATTACATTTTATCAAATCATCAAAACATATTTTATTACCTTCATGATATTACAAAATCAGTTTGTTTTTACTTTATTTATATTTATATATATATATATTTTTTTTTTTTGTATTTTTAGAAAGAGTTTGAGCACCTTAAAAGCCTTGACCTTTTCAACAATGAAGTTACTTGCATTGAAAACTATAGGGAAAGGCTATTCAAGCTTCTACCATCTTTAGAGTATTTGGATGGGTAAGTTGCATTAATTTTTTATGATATATATATACAGGCTTTTCTCACTTTTTTTTATTTGTTGACCTTATATGTATACATACACCCTCATTGCAATCTCAGTGACATGAACTTAAACAGTTCTAACACTCGAATAACCGAAATTTGAAAACAGAAGTAAAATAATAATTATAACTGTTTTGAATAATGGGAGGGGAGAGAGAAAGAGAAAAGAGAGGCAAAAGAACCTTTAGGTTTTTTTTACCTAAGATTGCCATTGTCATGTTGAATTTCCCGGCTTATTTCACAAATTCCTTCTGTCATTTAATATCTTTAAATAATTATTTGAATCTGAGAATTGAAATTTTCTTATTAAAAATCTTCTATAAATATAAAATGACAGGTAAGAAAGGTGCAGTGTCTTGTTCCATTTGTATTTTATGAGTAGCAGAGAACAAAATGCCTTGACTACAACACCTGACTGCGTAAAACTATTATTGAAGAAGTCTTTTAAAAGTCAAAACAAACCACAAAAATATATTTTTTAAAATAATCAATTTTTATATATCTATAAACTCAATTTGTACAAGTAATCACGGATATGTCTAGTTAATAAAGTAATATGAATACATTGAGTTTTAATTTTTTATTTGATCGTATTTAGTTTTTGCCAACGCCTTTTGCATATGTATGATCTGAACATCCTTTTGTTTCAATAAGTATGGCTTGCTGAGATTGTATTTTATTTAATTACATACCACCATTTTCTACACTTATAGTGCATGATAAATAAGTCCACTTTATCGTGGAAGCGTGATGGAATTTAGTGGTTTCTTAAGGTAGATATTTTTGTTTAGATTTGATGCTAAAGAGCAGGAAGCAGATGACAGCGAACAGGAAAACGATTCTGTCAATGGCAATGAAGAGGAAGAAAGTGGTAAGTCGATAAACTATTTAGCTTGTTATATAGACCTCCTTTTCTGTTATATTCTTAAAAGTAATGTTCTGAATAAGTTAGCTTCATATAGTTTAATAATTATTTAAACAAGAAGTATGATTTATATATTTTTATAGATGAAGATGGTGAGGGTGAAGGTGGAGAGGAAGATGATGACGAAGAGGTTGAAGATGAGGAAGTAGGCCTCGAAGCTGTATATAAAGAAAACCTCGATGTAAGTTTTATTTTTATTCAGAAGCAGATATATATTTTTACTTTCACTTACGTATATATGTAATATATTGTAAGGGTAAGTATTGTGATCGTGAAAATTTTCGAATCTCAGTTTTTAACGGAAATACATGTTTTGAAGTTCCCTGAGTTCAAATAACCAAGTGTCGCAAAATGGTTTGTGTGTGTTTGTTAACAGTCTAGCTCATAAACGAAAAGTAGTACAAAACTGTTATGAAGTATTTAAGGTTTGTATATGTGCCGGATGGGAAAGTACCTTTTTCGTTAAAATCAGCTATCCGGAAGTGCCAATTAATATGAACTCTGAAACACATTTTTTTTCTAAAGGTTTGGTTTAATTTATAGCCAAGATTTTATATGGTTTGGTTTTATGAGTGGTAAGTTAAATATCTGAAATTTTATTATACTTAATATGACCAGACTTTTTTTTTGCCTTAAAGCGGAACATCTCTGTTTATTCGAGAAGTTAGGTGGGAGGAGGGATCGAAAAATGCCCATACAATCAGTGATATTTAAGATCTGTACTAAATGACTATAAGTCTCATATAAGGTATTGAAAGCTAAATAAAAAAATAATTCTAACGGGAACAATAATTTGGATATTGCCAAAAACGTTATTATTGAGCTTTGCATTCATAGTGGGTTTTCATATCAGTTTTTATTGTTTTTTATAACCTTGACAGTTACAGAAAAATTATAGATCAAGTAATAAATAATTAAGGTTAAACTGTACTATTCATAACGGGCCATTTATGTCTCGTGGCAATCCTGGTGTCATCAAGACACAGAATGTGGTGGGACATCATGTAACATAAATTCTATACTCATTTTAAGCAGGCAGTTATCGAGGGCATTATTCTTTATAATTGTTGAATTTTTAAGTTTTTATCATCAGTTATATTTAAAACTTATGACATATAAGTTAATTATATTAATTAATTTTAATTCTGTAACATGTTTTTCTTTTTTTAATTTACTAGGAGGAAAGTGAAGGTGATGATTATGAAGGAGAGGGATCAGAGGAAGAAGAAGACGAAGATATTGAGGAGGAAGAAAGCTTCCAAGCTGATGCTGATACAACTGAAGATGGTATTATTCAACTTTTATGTTTTTCTCTGTTCATATGTTAAATTTATGAAGTTAAACAATATCAATAATAAATGACTAAATTTTCGAGAATTTCTCATTAAATGAAAATAGGTTTTTACTATCCTGTGACTGTTGTCCCTTTAGGACAAATTATAGATACAGAGGAAATGCCTGTGGCCATAAAATTAAATTAAATATTTACAATTCTCATTAAAATAAAAATATTGGAAGAAATTTAAAACAAAAACACTAAATATATACAGGTTAAAGGTCAGAAGTACGGGATCTAGTGGGACGGGGTTGAATGTTATATTTAAATTGTAGGCTGTCAAAAATATAGGAAGGTCGCCGAGTTCTGATGGCTTAGTGTAGAAAGATAGCAAGGAAGTACAGACGGCGGTTTGGATGGATAGAGCCACTTCAACTTGGTGTAATACTGAGTTATATGCCTATCTATTGATATTCTGAAGACAAAACGAATTGCGCATTTCATTGGGCATTTAAGTTTGTCTTCGAATTCTCCTGAGAGTTCGCCGTACACCAGACAGCCATAGTCTGAGTGGGAGAACACAAGGGAGGAAACCAGGAGTTGTCAGGATTTATATGGAAGGAGATAGCGGACACGGTTAAACTGTTTGATGGCAGAGATAGTGAAATTTTTGGGAGATCTGTGGTTTCCAGGAGAGTGTTTGATCAAAAGTAACACCAATGTTTTTTATGGAATGAGAGAAGTGAGTTATTCAGGAGAACATTGGGGAGTGTCTGTATGAATTTGAGGAGTGAGGGAATTCTGATCAGGATGGCTTTCGTCTTCTCTGAGTTCAGAGTAATTCTACTGCGGTTTTTCCAGGCACAAATTCCAGTTATATATCTTCCTGTAATTTTTGGATGGCGTCAGAGGATTCGGTCGGATTGAAGGAGAGGTAAATCTGGACGTCGTCGGCATACAGATGATATTGACAGTGTAGGATAGAGGATGGAAGGTCATTTATGCAGATGGAAAAAAGGGTTATTAAAGTTACACATGGCTTTGTTTTATGTTTCCTCTAAAATTCAGTTCAGCTAAATTAAGAGCATTTAGACGTCTTTAGAGTTTGCACTCAATGGCAATAATGGTAAATGTTTTATACCTACATATCATAACACATAAACAAAATAAGTTGTTCAGCAAGTATGATTTGTGTTTTTTTCTATTCTCCTTAAATTCTTTATTACTTCAAGATCACATTGTTAGGATTAGTCTGCACCATGCATGAATGAATCATTATTAGTTTCTATAGCCTTTCTAGTTTATTGATGTAACGGATATTGGATCAAGCAATCAGGAATGACACTTAAAGTATTTCCATCTACAAACACATTTCTTAAATAAATTCCTTTTCATTCATTAAAAGAATAAAATAAAGTATGAATTAGAAATAGGTTTTATTTTCATAAGCGGAAACTGTATTACAGATCTATTTTGATGAAATATTTAGAATGTTATGCCTTGAGAGTATAATGTTAAAATGCCTACTTTTTGTAGCTTTTAAAAAAATTCAACTGTCGATCATTTTATTGTTGTCCCTTTAACGATAATGGAATCATGTATGAGCCGAGACAGAATCGATCCCAGTCGTCCTAAGATATGCTATTTCTTATATAATAACTATGTAATCATTTCTACTTTAGAACAGTAGTGTGAGTTATCACGCCCTTTCAATGAGGCAGTAGGTAGTTTTTCTGTGACAAGATTATGGGTATTTTTAAATTATGCCTTAAATAAAAACGAATTAGTGGTCAGTAGAGATATTGAAAAATATTCTGTCCTCAAGGGTGTCCCACCCTTTCTGTTTATTTATCTTGGCTCAAAGGTTACAATTTGAAGTACGTTCTGTCCTGTGAAAGATATGACTTCAACCAATCAGAAATTGATAAAAAAACAAAAACAAAAAAAAAACACCATTTCAGACTTAAAAGTACATATTGTGGTTGTTTTAAATATGTAATATAAATGTGGATTTTCCGTTTGTAGGTAGATAGATTGAAGGGTAAAATTAGAATTTAAGATTATCTGTTTTTGTCCATTGAAGCTTCCTGGATACTTTCAGCTGCCTTAATCCGACTAGTCCACGATATAGATACATTTTTATCAAATTATTTACATTCGCCTGAAACTTCGTGAATAGCTTTATCTCGTTGTAACCTACAACTATTTTATTTATGAAAACTCTTGGAATTAGGGCATTTTCAATCTGGAGATCGGCAAAATTTTTCTATTTAATTAGGTACTAAAAATTCGTAATTATCCATTTGCTTTTCCAACTTCCACTTCTAAGATAATTTGAGAACGAAATTGAGAAAAAGTGTCTTACAAAAATACCGGATCGTTTCGCCTGTATAACTTTGTTACATTTTGGAAGTGTAGGTCACACCAAACGGCTCAATATTTTTCAACGCCACTTTTTCTCGATTTTGTGCTCAAATTATCTTATGATAGGGATGATTTAGTGAAGCATATGTGTAACTATGAGTTTTTACAACCTAATTGAATGGAAAAAGTTTGAATGTCCCATTTCCAAGAATTTTCATAAATAAAATAGTTATAGGTTAGATAAGATAAATCTATTTATGAATTTTTAGGCAGATGTTAATAATTTGATAAAAAAAAATGTCTGATCATGGACTATACGTTTCCTTGAAAATTCAGGGATAGCCTTGGTATATAATTTTCTTATTTAATTGTTAGCAGAATTTAAATATTTAAAATTTTTAGGTAGTTCATTTTAAAAGAACCTGTATAGGCTCGTTATTTTACATTTTTGGAGTATAGGTCACACCTATCAGCTCAATATTTTTGAAGGTCACGTTTTTTTTTCGATTTTGTGCTCGAATTATCTTATGAATTGAAGTAGGAAGCAAATGTGTATCTATGAGTTTAAGTAACTATTTTGTTAGTTTAAGTTGAACTATTTCTTTAATTATATCTATCTTGTACCTGTTTATTTTGACTAACACATTGCTGGTTTTCAGACTCTACTCCACGAGGGAAAAAAAGAAAACATGAAGGAGAAGAGGAAGTTAATTAATTAATAATGATAAAACAGTTCTTAAAGATTTGAGTCAATGGGTTCCCAAGTGGAGTGGCAAGATCCCCAATTACACAACTATGGGAAATGCATGAGAAAGACCAAGATTTATCTTTCTTGTGTTGTACTTACTATCTGAGTATTCCTGTTTTACTGAAATATATGCATGTAAAAAATGAAATCTTATAAGGTACTGTTTTCAAATATTTGTACAAAATAATAAATTTAAAAAAAAATGTAGTAAGAAATTAATTAATTTTGTAAAGTATGTATTTATTAATTGAATTATACAAATATATGTGTATATATCAAGAAATTGTTTATTTAGGTTTACTTAGCGAGTATTTTTCTCTTTCATTTCCTGTAAGTTGTGGTCGTCGTCTGGTCGGTTTTTATATCTACAACTTTATAAACATTTATTTACTAGTCTGAAATTAATTATCAGTATCTTTTTTTTTTTTTAGTGCTTTTAAGTGGAAACAAAACAAAATTAAACATTTAATGTGATTTATATAAAAGGGATTTTTCTATGTGTTTTATGTTCGAAGTTAAAAATATTTTCTGTATTATTAATTATAATTGTGTACAATGTATAGATGTAAATTATAATTAAATTATATGGTAATGAACCACCATATTGGTTTGTGAGCAACACAGGCTGAAATTGTCCTATAATCGAACCAAGTGCCTAATGTTATAATATAGATGTTCAATATTCGGTCAACTATCATGTTATATGTGCTCCGTAGGTATAATCGGAATCTTATGGACCTGTCGTCTTTATAAAGTTGTGTATTATAAATCCCGACCATTTACAAAATTAAAGGAACCCTGAGGAATATATTTATTCTAAACAGAAATTTAATACAAAGGTTTTTATTTTTTGCATTAATGACTTAAACAGTCATGTATAGAGATATATTTTAGGTTTTGTACAGCCTTATTCTTTGTAATCGCTTGGCACATATGTAATAGGTATTATTAAACAATTAGATAAAAGTTTAGGTACCTGTTTCTACACTTATTTAGCATTTAAACTTATAACATTGGTCTTGCTTATTAGGGCTATATATCTTAATATATATACATATATATATATTTAATATAAAATGATTTTTTTTTTTTATTTTGTTTTTAGAAACTTGTAAAGTCATCATGGCCCTAATACAGAATTGTTACATTTATGTTGTTAAATCTTTTCATAATTAGCATAGACTATTCCACATTGATACAAGATTGGTTCAATAGACCAGATATAAAAAAATTCAGTTTAGTGGCCATGTGATGTATTGTATATAATTTACATACATACAAATGTGCCGTAATTATCTGTTACCCGTAAGGTGATTAGAATGTATTTGTACAGCTTATTGTATAAGTTTTGTTTCACAATAAATATGAAAATATGTAGAGGAGGAGTTTCAATACAGCATATTATATTTCCTTTATCTGTTTTTGTAATGGCATTATTTAAATAATACCATGGACCATTTGTTGGTGAAACCTTGTACAAAGTATATGTAGTCTTATGAAATGCTCAGATTAACCTATACATGGTAAAGATTTTATTTTTATTGAAATTATGAACTATTGTGTAAACATTTTTATGGATTATAGGTAGTCACTGATTTTATTGACCGTATCTAAATCTTTAATTCTTATACATACCAATTTTGAATGTCCAGTAAGCATTCATGTCAATTGTATTATCCTGGATAATTATATGTTAACTGCATATTAATCGTTCGTTATTAAATGTTTTCATTTTTTAATAGCCTACACTTATTTAAGTTTTAGCTGTATCCTATCTTTGCTTTTTTTATTATTTTCGACATTAACATTAGTATGTAGGAAAATAAGTTTTTTAATTAATACATATTTTCAAATTATTGGCTGTATAAACCGATATATTTTGTGGGCTTTTAGTTATTTTTGAGACCATGAAAACTATAGTTTTGCTATCTTAGCCCACCTTCGATTTTTCCTCAATAGTTGTTTTTAATGGGTAAATAAGACTTTTATCAGGCTAAATTTATTTTACGTTTGTCGTATCTGCATCATTTCAGCTGTAACTGATATGTTTTTTATTTTCAGTGCTGTTTTCTATTGTCAAAGTTATAAATGTTGGTGGTTATAGCAATAATACTGATATCGATATAGTTTTGTACTTATAGGAAAATAAATTTGAGCAACTATTTAATAGAAGTTAGGTGATATACAATAGTCTATTAAAGCTTATAAAACTTTTACAATAAATATTCTTATATGAAGATGACATGAAGGGAATAAAATCCTGCGAGTCATTTCTCCAAAGGAATTTTTGAAATAAAACTCATTTTTTTTTATTATTCTGGGACTGTTGTCCCTTAAGAATAAATTGTAGATGCAGAGTAAACGCCCGTATGGTCATACATAAATTAAATATTTACAAAATAATAGCTAATTAATAATAAAAATGCAGAAAGAGAGAAAAAAAAAAGCGTATATATGTATAAATAAACACACATATATATATATATATATATATAAATTAAATAAACAGGAAACAAATAATCTCTGGGGGTTCTTAAAGGCTTCTTTCACACTGAAGATGCATGCATCCTGGAAGAAAAATACTAGACTGTAATTGAACAAGAGCTTTCACATGGGAGATGCAAGTGCATCTAGCATCCTGGATGCAAGATGCACTTGCCTCTTGAGACCCAGCTGGCTAGAGGTTCCACTGCATCTTTGTTGTGACCCCTGACTCTCAGGCTTGACTTGTCCAGTTTCTATTCTGACTTCAATTAGACATGTTTCAAGTATGGTCCCATAGGATCCAATAACTTGTTAATAAGTAGAAACCTCATTTTTATAATAGGCATGTAATTTTACTGGATGGTTTAGTAATTGCTGAGACACATTGCTGTGCTATGCTCTGCAGCATTATCTCTGTGTGGATGCTGCCATAAATGGTGTGAAAGGCCTCAAAGAGTGTTCTCAGGTACATTTTGTGATCAGTCTCATTGGGTGAGGAGTGATTGTTTAAAGAGGAGAGATTTAAAAGAGGAAATAACATTGCAGTTCGGTGAGGAAAGATATCAGAAGTACGGAATCTAGTTGGACAGGACTGGATGGAGTATTTAAATTGTAGGATATGATGAATATAGGAGGCTCGCTGAGTTGTAATGGCCTGTTACAAAAATATGGTAAGAAAGTACTGTTGGTGGTATGATGGGTAGAGCTACTTCAACTCTGTAATAGGCCTGTAAATCCACAGGATATACCATACATTATGGAATAAGACAGCTAAAAAATTTAAGTAAATTTTAAAGCCTACCCACACACAAACTAAAACAATCTATTATATAAAAAAGGTTTTTAGTGACGGTGTCATGTTTAATTTTAAATATACAAAGCAGGATGGACTGTAACGAAAACACCATACTTATTCCCAGAATTATTTCTCCCTTATTATGGCTACGAATTGGCAATAAGAATAATTATAATTATATAAATTGCCTATAAGGCATAGTATATCATATAGATTTTTTAAATAAAACAATTGTCTGAAATGTTTTGTTCCGTTTATTTTGTGACGATAAAAAAAATAATATGATCTAAACTATAGAATACATGTAAATTACAGTTATAAAATTTTATCAACGAATAGTACAATTAAATGAAGTCATATAATTTGTAAAATTGGAGGTAGCACTGCCATTTGGTAGACAGTGGGTATCTATCTAGTAATAAATAAAAATATACTTACAAACTAAAATATAAAAGAAATAGCAACTACAGTTAGTAATCTAAGAAAATTAGCAACAATGACCTTTATCTAAAAATTGAAATATTAATTCTGAGTTGAATTAATCTATTATAATTATTTTTTAAACTTTTGATTTTTTGCTCAATCGCAGTTTTTAAAATAATAGTATCTAAAGCAACTCAGTAATAATATAATAAATTCGAATATTTTATCGAATATCGAAGTTTTTAATGAATAATTGTGAGTTAATGGTTGACTGTCATGAATAATGAAGAGAAGGATGGTTGTGGTGATCAGTTAGAAAAAAGAAGGCAAAAATAAATAATAATATTTATTTTAACATTTGTTATTATTCTATATATTTAAGAACAAATGTTAAAATAAATATTTATTTTTGCCTTCTTATTTCAGACTGATAACCCCAACAATCCTCTTCGTTTTTAATGAATGCTTGCATTGTTTTAATTACTGGTTATTAATTATGACTTCTTTATTATTTTTTATTTTATCATAGTGAATTGGTTACTATTCATGACAAAATTTAATTTTTAATTCCTTTTTAAAATATAAAAGCAAAACAAAACATCCGAAACAATTGGTAAATTAATTATTCTTACTACTGCGTTATTAAAATTATTATTTTAAGAACTGTGTTCGAGCACCTATTTGAAAGTAAAAATAAATAAATATGATAGATTAATTCAACTCTGAAATAATATTTCAATTTTTACTTAAGAAGTCCATTCAAGTTTTTGTGAAAAATGGAAGTATAAATTTAAAGCACCCAAACTTCATATCGTAGTTGTTATAATAAAGAAGGATCTACTTACAATTATTAAAAGCCGTATTCGATCAAACAAATTTCAAAATAAAATAGAGAAAAGTTTAATTTATTTGCGGAAGCTCGAGAGATAAGAAAGAACAACATTTTGTAGTGTTTTTATTAACTTAAAAAGGCAAATTTTGAATGATATTAAAAATTTGTCCACCAAAAAGTCTTTTTCTTCCCACCTTATTGATCAGCAGTTTAACAACTGCTTGCAAATAGTTCCATAAAAATTCAGACCTTAGTTATATACTCATATGTCTATTATAGCCTTTTGGTGAGAAATTGATAAAACTTACTGTTCTAAAAGGAAAATTAATTACTGTTTAATTTCTTATATGTAACAGGTATTTATTCTGGCTAGGATAACCTCTACTTTTATAGTATAGTATGTAGTAGTGATGGGGATTAGTAGGAGAGGAT